CCGAGGGAGGCGCTGACTGACGTTGGGCAGAGGCTGTTGTGTAGATGCTGTGCTCCCATGTCACTGGTCACATAGAAATAGTCATTGTCAGGGTGTAATTCTTGCTTCAGACACAGAAACCTTGGTCTGGCCTTGACCCACATTCTCCAAGAAGAGTCTGGCTTCTTTACAGCAACAAGAATCTGGTACCCGGTGATGGCTAAGCATGTCACCACCAGCAAGCACAGGCACCTTCCTCAGGGCTTGTCATGGCACTGCTCATGCTTGTCATGGAAAGAAGATAAAACACAAGGTCTTGGCTTTGGATCCCCCTCTTCGCAGAAGGCAGCCATGCCTGTCACTGCTCGGTTGTCCGACCTCACCCCTTACCCTTCCTTTGAAAGGAGTGAGAAGCTTTTAGGCTGCTGGACATGGAGGGAGATGCTGACAAATCCTCAAGCCTGCGGGAAAGCCTGCTCTACGGAGGCAACAGGAGTGAGGCTCCTGGAGGCCAGGACACCTGTGGACTCCGTTTGGCTGGCTCAGGGCTCTCGGGGGCTGCTCCTCCCTGTGCTTCTCCAGGCCCCAGGAGGTGACTTCTGGCGACCCTCCTGGGGGGTGGGGAGGGGCTTCCCCGTCCTGCTCATTCCCTGCTCCCTTTGCTGAGCTCGGGGAACGCCAGGGAAAACCCCCTCGGCGCTGGGAGCCAAACCCAGACAGCCTGTGGGCGTTTCCTCTTTACACAGTTGCGGCAGGTCAGAGGTCAGTGGGTCTCCGAGGTGACATTATCCAACAGCTCATTTTCTGCATTAGATGACCCAGGCCAGGAGGGAAAGGGTCTTGTCCCCACATCGCCAGGGACAAAGACTGAATTAGCCTCCATCACTGAAGGAAGTTGGTCTGAGATTTTGCTGTGCCTGTTAATGGTGAACATAATTTGGGGCTGCCTACTTGGACCCATGCACAGACTCATCCACTGTGTGTTATGTGTGTGTGTGCACACACATGTATGTTTGTCTGTAATTTCCCTCTGAATTCACAAGCCAGGCCGATTTTGTTGCGAGGTATGTTGTCCTTCAGAGTGAGAATAGAGAGAGGAATGAACAATTTTACTGGTGAAAATGCTTGTTGTTGTGCTGGCCAGAGAAAGTGCATTTCCCTGGTTTATTTTGTGTGGCGTTGCCTGGGATGGCATCAGGGCCAAGTGATACGATCTTAGAAATAATGTGACCCAGGCTGGCACCTCTCGTCTACAGTCCGGGGTGCGCTGGGCTGCTGCCCTGCCTCCTCTCCTCACCGACAGCAGCGGTTGGGGCCCCTCCACAGTGCACTCACACTCAGAGCCTGGGCCTCCATCCCAGAGACCCCAGTGCCTGGAATAGACCACAGGGCAGAGGCTGCGAGCTTCCCCAGCTTTTCAGCAGGTAAATTGCAGTGCAAGCCAGCATCCCCTTAAAGGCACCAGGCTTGTCCTAATGCCCGGTTTCACCCAGATTCACGGAAAAGAGTTTTTAAGTTTATATTTAAAAACATAAAAACTTCCTCGACAGAGCTCTGAAAACTCCCTGAAGTGTGTGAGGTAGAAGGACTGACAGCGTCGCCGCATGCAGACGGTCCCTGCTTGCTTCTGCAGGAGGGTCTGGTGCAGGCAGGTGACGCGGTGGGCTCCGGGAGTCTCTCTGCTTGGCCTGGCCACTTGTCAGCCATCGACACCGGTCCCGCTGAGGCAGACACAGTGCAGTGGGTTAGGGAGACAGGCATGTGTTCAGTCATTTGCCTGTGGCTTTACTTACTTGGGTTTCTACCATTCTTTCTGTTTGGACTTTTATAAAGTCTAAACGATCACCTTATCAGCTTGAATTTTGTGCTGTCTCCCTCCTGGGCTGATCTGCGGTAAGTGGTTGGGCTCTATGTTGTGTTTCTCGGGGTTAATCGAGGTCATTAGGACAGCGAACCAGTGCTGATGGATAAGGGGCTTGCTTGGCCTTTGGGACTTTTCAGTTTGTGGCATTTTAAGTATAACCCCCCGTGCATACCAGCATATTACCAGCATCGGAGTGTACACCAGCCTGTTCAAGTGTGTGTCCGAGCCGCAGGGCGGGTGGCACGTGGGAAGGGTGCTGAGGGGAAGCAGGAGAGCTTTCTCATCCTGAGCTATGTGCCTAAGCAGACAGAAGGGCTGCCAGGGCCCCAGCCCGAGCCTGGATCCTCTGCTCAGAATCAGGAACTGGACCAAGGTCCATGTCCAGGACCAAATGAGGTCACCCCATTCTAGCATAGTCACCGTCCTCTCCCTCTCTCCCTCCACCCGCCTCAGCCCTGGCGACATCCTTCTGGAATAGACTCATTTATTATGGCTCTGTAGGTGTCAGATACTTGTAACGGAAAAGTTGCTGTCCCCACAACAGGCTAAGTTAGAGAGAAATTGCTGAGTGCAGGGCAGTAGAAGTGCCAACCAAGAATAGCCGCAAGTGTGGGAGACTTCACACCAGAGGCCTTCGTGCAGTGATGGAGGTGGTCGGGGGAGCGACACTGGACTCGGGCCACACGGGAAGTGTTGCTTTGCATCCAGAGGGCCCTGCGAGAGCTTTGCCAAGATGACAGAGCTGCCGTTCATGATTGCCTGGCACTGAGGACCCATCCGGGGTAACCCACAATGAGGTGACCCATTCCAGCCCTGAGATGTAGGTACCCGCATTTTGCAGATGGGAATGTGGAGTCTTGGAGAACTCGGGTCACAAACATGAAGTTAAGGTTAGATCTGGCTGACCCGAGAGCCTGCTCTTAGCCACCATCCCCTCCACATGAAGGATGGAGGCAGGGGGACTTCTCTCCAGGGAAGCCCTGGAGCTGGGCCACCCAGTTCGTGTCTCTGTGCTGCTGCTGGGGGAGTTTGGCTTTTTTTCTTCTCTTTGCCCCACTTAGTCTAGAGAGGAACAAGTGCCTTTCATCCACTCCTGGCTGGCACCCGGCCAGAAATGCAAAGGGACGCCCCCTCCCCACAGGCAGTATGCACTGTAATCTGCTTCAGTCGTACTGTTTGAAAATGAAGCTTTAGAAATGAAATGCAGCAACTGTATTTGCTCACATCATGGGACACGGCCCCAGAGAATAACAAGCCACAAGACTCAGCCTGTTCAGGAGATGTTTGCTCTTTTTGAAATAATAACTAAAGTTATGATATGCGTAATACCAGAACCTTGAAGTAGTCTACTGTGAGAGCCGGAAGTGAGCTTTGAGCTGGGAGTCAGGACCCACCTGGGCCTGAGGACCCCACAGTCCCCACCCCGAGTCATAGTGCTCACACCTTCTGGCCTCAGACCACCAGGAAGAGCTGCCGCAGAGATGGCTCGTGGTCATGTTTATAAGGCGCTCCCACTGTGATGTTCTTTGTCTTGTTCTTGAAAAGAAGACTGGCCCCGTGGGAAGAACCCATAACAATGAACTTCGTTGAATTTTATGAATTTTTAGTCTCTCGCCGAAGCCAAGGCACAGGACAGTCGTGGGACAAATTGCAGGAGCATCTTAGATTCTCTCTCCCTCTCTCTCTGGAACTTTCTGTTAAAGGTTTTTTTCATGATTGGATTGTTGTGGGGTGTTTTTTGGGGGGGCAGAGGTGGTTGGTTTGTTTTGTCTTTATTTTTGCATGGAGTTGTGAGAATGTAAATCAAAGTTTGTAGTTGCTTTCTTTCGACTTACCTAAGAAAGAAAAAGGTTATTCCGCGAGAATACCGGATGTGTGCTGTGGGTCTAGAATTCTGCCCATGTTGCCTTTCCTTTGAAACCTTGGCCTACAGCTACATGTTGCTGGACGTGGCTATCGAGACTCCCACCAGCAGACTCCGTTTCCTGGTGCTCACAAAAGGAGCCGGATCTTCTCGGTCGCTCTCAGAACAGATGTTTCTCAGACCTCTGGGCCCTTTGAGTCAGGTCCCCTTCACCCATCCCTGTCATTCACACCATGTCTATTGCCCGAGCAGGGTCAGCAGCTGCGTACTACTACACGTTTCAGATTCCTTGTCCAGCCCCTCGAGGAGCGGGGGAGGGGGGGGAAGTCTATATTTCTGTATTTCACAGTAAATTAAATTCTTCTGGGGCTTGCCTCTCCCACTGGCCCTCCAGGGCAGCCAGTGCCGTACCCTCTGGGTGCCCGCACCTCCTTCACCTGGTCTCCAGCACATGCTCGTGATGTTTATGGGGCTGAATCAAGTGGATGCAAACAAACAAACAAGTGCCAGATGGTGGCTCGGGTGGGTCCCTGGGCCTCCCGACACCAGTGGGTGCATTTCCACATTTCCTCCGCTTCTGCTCAGGACCCTGATGTGGCGGAGTGAGGGATGCCCAGGGACACTGGCGGCGCTGGGACTACAGTCAGCTCTGCCTTGGTCACGGGTGGGAGGAGACCTCCCTAGTGCTCTCGTCCGGCTTTGGTGGTGAGAGCCTCTACATAATGGCTTCACAAGATCAGCACGTCTTAGAGATCAGAGAAGTTAACTACAACTGAGTAGGGTTTTAAACTGTTCAAAAGATTTGGTGCCTCGTACCTCGTGTACTCCTCCACCCACAGCTCCTCCCCTCGGATATATTTAAAATCGGAACGTGTTCATGACGTATTGGTCTATCCACAGGTTTTCTAGAGTCCACCTGCCGGGGCAGACAAGGTGTCCTGAGATGTCTTGGTGGCCTCGGTGCAAACCTGGAAACCAGGAGAATAAGCTGGTACCAAGCGCAGGGCAGGGTCCTGTTTGGTCCGTAGGCTGCTTTTCTCAAGAAACGTCTGGATGGACAGAATTTCTTCCTGATGGGGCCCTGGGCTTGCTGGGCAGGGCATGGCAGCAGAGGCTCTCCTGCGTGGAGGTGCTGGCTTCTCAGCCCTTGTGCTGGTCCAGCGCCTGAGGGCTCTTCTTTGCCCTCCTCCCAGGTTCCCAGAGGGCCTGCTGGTGGTGGATCTCACACCGGCCCCTCTGGGGCGTGCAGCGCCTCCTGTGCGCTCTCTGAAGCGTTTTCTTCCCCTTCCACAGCCAGCATGCCAACCAGCGAGACGGAATCTGTGAACACGGAGAACGTAAGTGGCGAAGGCGAGAACCAAGGATGCTGGGGAACTCTCTGGTGAGTGTGGAGGCAGCTTACCCTCCTGGCTTCCGCCATCATCATCATCTCAGGGAAGCAAATATGTGGAAGACACCCCAAATTTCCATGAAGCCTGGGGGCCATAGCCTCAGGGGCAGGAGGGGCGGGTGGGCTCACCCTGGGCCCCTGGGTCATCCTCCTACCCTGGGCCCCTCCCTGCCCCCTCCTGCAGAGCAGCCATCCTGCTGAGCACCTGCGGCAGGGTGTGCCAGGTAACCCACTGTTCCACTGTGTCCACTAGGTGCTGGTGGAAAAGAAGCGACGCGGCCCAGGCCGGGCCCTCTGGGTGCCTGCGGTGGGGGTAAAGCCCGATTCTCCTCCTGGGCTGGTGCTGGCATCAGTGCTTTGGAGAAGAGCTTGTATGGCAGAGTGGCTGATGAGAATATTTTGTTTCCCTTCGCTCCTGGGTTCTCTCAATCTATGCACAGCAGCTGGATGGCCAGACCCTGTCCTATGCTTACAGCACTTTTTCTTGGGAGCCCTGCACCACCCCCTCTTAACAGTGGAGGGCGCCATCCCATTAACCCCCCATTGGCTTTTTACTAGAGGATTTGGACTGCAGCAGTGGGGGGACCAGCAGGGTGGAATGTGCAGAGTGCAGCCTGCTTTGGGGGGGAGGGGGACCCATGCAGCTTTGTTTTTTTTGCTTCCATCTGGTATCTTTTAGGTCTTATCTCTGCAAAATGCAGGTGCTGTTTTTAAGAGAATTCGATCTCCTGGGCAGTGCTGCGTAAAAATGATGTGTTATGGGCAGGATGCTCAGCAATTTACACAGTGAATTTGCCTCCTTTCTCTTGCTCTGCCCTCCCTACCACAATGGAAAGTAGACGGGAAATGGGTTTGTCCTCTCCATTTGACAGATGAGAACACGGAGGCTCACAGGGGTCCTCAAACTTTTTAAACAGGAGGCCAGTTCACTGTCCCTCAGACCGTTGGAGGGCCGGACTATAGTTTAAAAAAAACTATGCACAAATTCCTATGCACACTGCACATATCTTATTTTGAAGTAAAACAACAAAACGGGAACAAGTACAATATTTCTATTTGCATGTGGCCCGCAGGCCGTAGTTTGAGGACCCCTGTTCAAAAAGGTGTGCCGCTTGCCCAGACTCACGCAGTTAGTGCATAGCAGGGCCAGGACTCCTAGTCCAGTGCTCCATTTGCTAGAGCAGCAGCACATGCTGCTGTTGAGATTGCAGGCAGGAGAGACCCCCGGACTTCAGTTTGGGGAACACAGGTCGGGGAGAGAAGGACCCTAGAGTCACTGCCTGTGCCATGACTGCTCAGAGCATCTGGCTAAGAGCCTTCTCTTGCCAGGGCTTGGGCAGGTGCTCAGCCTGGCCTGCCTGGACCTGCAGCACCTCGCTACTGCTCTGCAAATACTCCAGCTAGCCCGCTGCGGGCCCCGGGGGTGCTGAGCCAGGCTGCTGTGCATGGCTCTTCCGATAGCTCAGCTGATATGGTGGGGGAGCATATGCTTAAGCCTTCCTAATAGGAATGATGTTCTTTTTGTCTTTCTTTCAGTCAAGCCATCTCAAAATCCAAGCTCAGGTCAGTATCTTATTTCCATTTTTCTTAAGCATGTGTGTTGGTTGTTCTCTTTAACTTGTGAATTTTGCATGGAGTTGCTCCAGACTTGCATTTGCTCTTTGGGCTGCAGTATTCATATTGAGGATCAATCTGCCCAGGAAACATTAATCACCCGTCTTGGAGGGCAGTGTAGTTACTGTCGTAGGTGCTAAGGTTCTTGCCCCAACACAAACCAACAAGATGCAACAATTTCTTGCCACTAATCAACCTTTCATATCCCCCCTAGAGTCATTTCTCCAGGAGAAATACTTCTTGTCACTTTTCTGCTTAAAAGTTTTTCAACCCTGGCCAGTTTTTTTCAGTGGTCAGAGCATCAGTCCACAAACTGAAGGGTTGTGGGTTCAATTCTGGTTAGGGGCATGTACCTTGGTTGCAGGTTCAATCCCCAGCCCCCGTCACGGCATGTGTGGGAGGCCACTAGTCGATGTGTCTCTCTCACCTTGATGTTTCTCTCCCTCTGTCTCTACCCCTGCCTTTACTTTCTCTAAAAATCATTGTAAAAAATATCCTTGGGTGAGAATTAAGTCCCCCCACCCCCAAAAAAAGTTTTTCATAGAAGGAGGTTCAAAAGGTTTTCTTAGGTGCTAGTCATGCTCTGTTTCTTGGGCTATGACATGGTCAGTTGGTGAAAACTCACTGAAGTGCACATCTGTGATTTGTATATTCTTCCATATAAATGTTCTTTTTCAATTTAAAACATTTTACCACTATATGTAAATTTAAAGAACATAGAGCTAAATGTAAAACCTAAAACTGTAAGCATTCTAGGAGAAAAATCTTTGTGACCCTGGGTTAGGCAAAGATTTTCTTGGACCCAATACACAAAGCACTGGCCATAACAGAAAAAAATGATAAATTCAAAATTAAAACTCCTGCTCTTCAATAGAAAATAAAAAGATAAGCTCCAGACTGGAGGAAACATGTTTGAAAAACATATTTGATAAAAGACTAATACTCAGTTTATATAAAGAATAGTGTCAATAATAAGGAAGCAACTCAATTGAAAAATGGTCAATAGATTTTAAGAGGCATGTCACCAAAGAAGAGAGATGGATAGCGAATAAGCACATGAAATGACCATTGGTCATTAGGAAAAGGTAAACTAAAATCACAATGAGATACCACTATGTATCTATTAAAAATATGACAATATTAAGGTCTGACAAGGAGGCAATCAATGAGAATTCTCATGCACTCCTTGTCAATGACAGACTTTTTTAAAACAAGTTGGTAGTTTCTTATAAAGTTAAACACATATTTACCTTATAATCCAGTAATCCCACTTTGAAGGTATTTATATAAGAGAAATGAAGCTATATGTCTGTATAAAACTTTTTATGTGTTTATGGCAGTGTTATTAATAATTGCCAAAAACTGTAAATAACTCAAATGTTCATCAAATGCTGACTGGGTAGACATATTATAGTTTATCCATATAATGGGAAAATGCTCAGCAATAAGAGGAAAAAACTGATAGAAGCAACAAGAGAAATGAATCTGAAAAGTATTTTTTTAATATATTTTTTTATTGATTTCAGAGAGGAAGGGAGAGGGAGAGAGAGAGAGAAACATCAGTGATGAGAGAGAATCATTGATCAGCTGTCTCCTGCACAGCCCCCACTCGGAATCAAGTCCGCAACCTGGGCATGTGCCCTTGACCAGAATTGAACCTGGGACCCTTCAGTTCACAGGCTGACCCTCTATCCACTGAGCCAACTGGTCAGGCCTGAAAAGTATTTTTGCTAAGTGAAAGAAACCAGTCCCTAAAAAGCTATATGTGGCAAAAGTAGGTTTACAGTTGTTTGTATGGAAAATAATACAATCTATATATATAAAAGGCTAAGCGACAGTCTGACCAGTCGTTATGATGTGCAATGACCACCAGGAGGCAGACGCTCAATACAGGAGCTGCTGAGTTGTGGTGACTTGGCAACGGTGGTTCTCAGGCGATGCACCCCAGAACCAGAGAAGAGGGAGCACAACTCTGGGGTGTGTCACTTGAGAACCACCCTCTCGCAATCTGGGACCCCTCAGGGGATGTCAGAAAGCCAGTTTCGGCCCGATCCCTACAGGCCAGGCCGAGGGACCCCATCTGCCAGAGGGACCCCGCTCACTCTGCAGACGCCCTTTGAGCCCCAGTGCCACCCCAGGTGCAGCCAGCCGGGGAGGGACTGCAGGAGGTTGGCTCCAGGGTGTGTCCGGCCCATCTCACCCAGTCCTGCCCCACCAGCCACCTTCTAATTAATTTCCTTTCAATGTGCATGAGTCTGTGCACTGGGGCACTAGTAATCCTATCTAATAAAAGAGTAATATGCAAATTAACAGTCACTCCGCCACTCCGTCACAAAGATGGCTGCGCTCATAGCCACAAGATGGCGATGCCCAGCCCCCTCAGCCCTGCCCCTTCAGTGTCCAGGCCTGTTGGCCAGGCAGGTGGCGGGGGAGGCAAGGGGGGGCGAGGCACTATCCGCCCACTCGGGCAGCTGATCCAGCCTCTCCGCTCCACTGCCAACGGAGCATCCCGAGGCAGCAGACAGGGGAGCGGAGACGGGAGGGAGCGAGGCAGCGGAGAAGGGCGGCTTCGCTCTCTTCTCTGCTTCGCTCCGGCCACAGAAAGCCCTATTCTTGCAGGAATAGGTCCAAGGAAGCCCTATTCTTGCAGGAATCTTCCTGCAATGGGCCTCTAGTAATGAATAATACAAGAAGAAACTGTGTTTTGAGTACTCACAATTGTAAACCTACTTTTGCCCCACCCTGTGTTGCATAATTCTATTTATAGGACATTCTGGATAAAGCAAAACAATAGGAACAAAAAACAGCTCAGTAGTTGTCAGGGGCTGTGGTGAGGAGAGGGGATGACCACAGAGGCCATGAAGGAACTATAAGTGATGGAAACAGTCTATGTCTTAATTGTGGTGGTGGTCACAAACAGTATACCTAAAAAGAGTAAATTTTATCATCTAAATTATATCTCAATAAACCGGACTTTAAAAATATCATGAAAAGCCTTCTCATGACTCCCTGTTGCCAGAAGGCAGGCAAATTCCTTCATAATTTGGCCCGTGGCTCAGCATCTGACCTCATCTTTTGATCCTTCTTGCTCCCCACTGCTCTCAGTTTTCAAACATACCACACACACTGTTTCTTCTTACCTAAGTCCCTTTGATCTTGCAGTTTCCTCTGAGTGGAGTGCCCTTCCCTCTGCCCCCTGGCGAACTCCTACTCAGCCGTGGAGAGGGGATTCTCAGTTTTCCAGCGAAGACTGTCCTGACTCTTACAAAGCATTTGCAGCCCTGGCCGGTGCTCAGTGGGTAGAGCGTATGCCCACAGATAGAAGGGTCTTGGGTTTGATTCCCAGCCTCGGTTGGGTGCATGTGGGAAGCAGCCAATCGATGCCTCTCTCTCTCTCTCTCTCTCTCTCTCTCTCTCTCTCTCTCTCTCTCTCTCTCTCTGTCTCCCCCCTCCCCCCTCACTTCCACTCTCTTTAAAAATCGGTAGAAAAAATATCCTGGGATAAAGATTTTTTTAAAAAGAGCATTTGCAGCTCTTTGCTCCTGTACCTGGCGCCTTGGGAATAGCTCTTGGTGTAGATTTATAGTCTATAACTCTGCGTACTTTACAAGGACAGGGGCCACGGCGCTGTGTCTTCCTCATCTTCGTATGCCCAGTGCCTGGCACAGAGCCTGGGCACCCAGTGAGGAGCAAGACGGGGAGTGCTGCAGGGTTTCAGGGGTGTGACGATCATGTCCCTGGATTTGGGAGACACCTATGACTTGTCCTTATGACAGACCCACCGAGGCTGGGTCCTCTTCAGACCAGATCGCACCTTGCTTGTGTGGACTGGTTTGTGCACCACTGAGCATCTCGCCCCAGGGACAGTCCTTAGTGTCCCCTGCCGAATTTTTCTTAGCTGCTCCTCGTGTTTCCAGCTGCTACTGCCATTGGAAACCACACAGCAAGAGCAATAACAACATGCACCTTGCTTGTTCCAAGTCTTGCTGAAGAGTTAGCACAGATCTCTCTCTGCCTGGCCCCTGGGTTTCAGTGTTTTTAACAGAGCACAGCTGAGTCAGCCGCCTGCAGCCTGGGCACAGCCCGGAGAGTCCTCTGACTCAGCCCCCTGGGCACAGCCCACTTCACCAAGCCATCCCGAGGCGGGGAGTGTTTTCCATGGGGAGCAGGGTAATGGAGAGAATACCTCCCCTCATTACAAACCAGAACTGAAAGTCAATGAAGGACATGCTACTTGTCTGTTGGACTCGGCTCATTTTATTTGTACGAAAACATGATTCAATATTGGCTCTTCTCCTGAAGGTATATTTTGAGCATCACTAGTTAGAAAGGGCACCTGATGACTCAGTCTGAAGACTCATGTCCTACTCAGCGTTGACGGCCCTGCCAGGCCCCAGAGAAATCTCCCAGGGTTAAGAAAGGATGGAAATTTCCCTGAAAGGAAAGCTGCGTTTTTGGAGCACTTCGTTGCCTGATCAATTTTGTAGGATGATTGAGATGCTGGAAGAGATGCAATGATAAGCTAAGTGGCTCTCTGCACAACAGACCCCTGCGCCATATGGTGGGGATGTGCCCTGCATACGTGTGCTACTCCGTTTTGCATCTGCACACGGATCTGTGAATATCTGGGTTTTCTAACTGGCTTGAGGACTGTGTAGGACGGCTTGTGGAGTCATGTAAAGCCATAGGAAGGAAACTGATGGCACGATCAAATCAAGAGATAATATTTTAAGAAGTTGTATGTGAAGATCACCAGAATTTGTATTGCGAGGTCTGTTCCTTTCCTTGCCATTTGTTCTGTCTTTCCTTCCTGCACCCCACCCCAATCTGGACCGCCAGCGTGGGAGACAGATGCTTTCCCAGTGATGTTTATTAGACACTCAGGTGCCGGATCTGTCACTCAGGGAGTAACGTCTGCTTCTCTTGCAGCCGCCGCTGGCGTCGCTGGAACCGATTCAGTCGCAGACGATGTAGGGCCGCCGTGAAGTCTGTCACGTTTTACTGGCTGGTTATTGTCCTGGTGTTTCTCAACACCTTAACCATTTCCTCCGAGCACTACAACCAGCCTGACTGGCTGACACAGGTCCAAGGTACAAGCAGAAGCTCTCCTCTTTTTGTTCTGAATGAGGGATTCCTGAGGCTGTCCATGCACGTTAGTCCTACCTGCTCGGTGTGTGACAGGTGCGGGAACGATTCAGTGCGCACTAATGGGAAGAACATAGGGCCATCCAAACACGGGGTGCACCTGGCGTGGAGGTGCAGGTGATGGGCGCCAGGGCATGCCATCACCTTCACCCTGTGACAACCTAGCATCGAGGAATCTGCCAGTGGGGAGGGTCCTCCCCCTGCCCCCCGTCCCCACTAAGGGGAAGCTTTATTTTCCCTTCTGGTATTCTGTGCAAGTGGTGCTAGTTCCCCCACCCCGAACGCCCCAGCCATGTGGTGTGGGAGTTCGTCCCCAGAGACAGTCCATTCTGAGTGTGGCAGTTTTGAGCCATCGAGGCCTGTCTTAAATCAGGTTAAATCTGTTTCCGTCCAACTCCCCAGACTGCCGGGAAATGTTTTCTGCTGTTAGAAATGACCTGGATAGGCAACTGCTTCTTCTCTCGTGGTGCTGTAAGCCAGACCAAGAGCTTTTGTGACTGATAGGAGCAGGAAATACAATATGCTGGACGGGACGGAGACGCATGGGCTCCGAGGGCTCGGAAGCATCGGAGGTGACGTGGAGAGCTGCCCTTCCCCATGGCACAGTCAGTGAGACTGAGGCCCAGGGAGACCTAGGGCCCTCTCCGGAGTCACACGTCTAGGTAGTGGCATCAGCAGGACTGGAACCTGGCAGCCAAGCAGACCATCGATGTTAGTGCCATGTCTCTGCAATGGAGGCAGTAGCGGAGAAGGGGGCATTCACAGCAGGGACTGGGGGAGGGGAGCAGAGGAGGTCCCAAGGACACCGCCCCTTTGTCTTTCCAGATATCGCGAACAAAGTCCTCCTGGCGCTGTTCACCTGCGAGATGCTGGTGAAGATGTACAGCCTGGGTCTCCAGGCGTACTTCGTCTCCCTCTTTAATCGCTTTGACTGCTTCGTGGTGTGTGGGGGCATCACGGAAACCATCTTGGTGGAGCTGGAAATCATGTCTCCCCTGGGCATCTCCGTGTTCCGCTGTGTGCGCCTCTTACGGATTTTCAAAGTGACCAGGTGAGGGCGGGGGCGCCTCGCTGCGGGTGTTTTCTGCGGGCCAGGCGGTGGCGCGCCGCCTCCCATCAGGCGATGTTCTGCGTTCTGGGCTCACACCCTCCCCTCGACTTGTAGGCACTGGACATCCCTGAGCAACTTGGTGGCATCCTTGTTAAACTCCATGAAGTCCATCGCTTCGCTGTTGCTCCTGCTCTTCCTCTTCATCATCATCTTCTCCTTGCTCGGGATGCAGCTGTTCGGAGGCAAGTTTAATTTCGACGAGTCGCAGACCAAGCGGAGCACCTTTGACAATTTCCCGCAGGCGCTTCTCACGGTGTTCCAGGTGAGCCCCCCACCCACTGCCCCTCCCTGCGAAGCCCGTTATCAGGTGCCTCCTGGTCTGTCCACCACTCAGTGAGACAAAACGGTTCTGGTTCTGTTTCCATTAGTCGTCTCCGCCCCAGTGATGGATGCTCTGCTACATTTTGTTCCATTTAAGCAATCTCTTTTGCATCTCAGTCCTGCTCTCGATGGGATGTGATTTAATGTTTTTGCAAGGCCACAGAGCTGGGGTGTCTGTGAGATCGGCTCTTTTCTGGTTCTGTGCTAATTTTTGATCAAGGGCAAGTTTTGTAATTCTGGCTGTAACAGGTTTATGCAAAGAAGTGACTTCCAAAGGCCTAATGCTGTCGTGTAGTCAGAGGAATCAGGGTGATAGGAGAGTTGTGGCAGCCTTCTGCCCCTTTTCTGTCCTCCCTCGTGTGATGTAATGGGGACACGCGGCCTCTGAGGGTGTCTGTGTGGCTGGGGCCCCTGTGAGCAACGCGGAGCCAGCCCTCCTGGCTCGAAGCCGAGTTGCTCTAAACTCCTCTTCATCTTCCTATGTTGTGAGCTGAAGCCCTTCCTTAGACAGAGCCTGGCCGATAAATTTAACTGTCCCGTCTGCCCTTGTGGCTTTACACATGCAAGTCCGGGAGCTCTGGGCCCTGCGGGAGAGGCCGTGGGGCCGGCGGGAGGGGCAGCGGGCATGCGGGCCTGGGGCTCTCCCAGTGCTCAGCTCTGTGACCCTGGAAAGTCACTGTCCTTTTCTGAAAAGGAGAGAGAGAGAGAGAGAGAGAGAGAGAGAGAGAGAGGCAGGCTAGAGAGGGATGATCTCTGATTCTTTCCCACTTGGCCACTGGAAGTGAGTGGGATTTCTGTCACTGCTACAGGCTGTGACAGAATTATACTTAATTTTTGAAAATTTTTTGAATTGTACTTAATTTGGGGCCACTGATGAGTCACTGGTTTTTCTGATTTCTTTCAGAGAAGCCTGTGTGGTGGTTGTTTTGTAATACATGCATGTGGCACAAAATTCAAACATTGCAAAAGGATATAAAGTAGCAATCAAGTCCCCTCCCTCCCTCCCACCTACCCACCCACAAGCCAGCCCCCTTCTAGGAGACAACCACTGTTAAATAGCTTCTTGTGTATTCTGTGAGATATATTTGCTCAGGTATAAGTCAGTTAACCTGCCTACCTGCCTCCAGGTGAACTCACACAGATGGTAGCTCATTCTACACCGTTTTCCATCTTGCTTTTTATCACTTACTGTCCTTAAGAACCTGCCTGATTGGCCCACAAAAGGGTGCCACCTCCTATTCCCTGCAGCGTAAATTCCTGGGTATGGGCGTGCATGATTCATGGAGCAGTCCCCCGCTGAGGAATATTTTATCGTCTCCAGTCTTGCCTCAGTGGGTGACCTTGAACGTACGCCCTGGGGCACATGAGTGAGAGCAGATCTGTAGGAGACAGTTCCCAGAGTCTGCTGGTTCAGAGGGTGTGTGTGCATGTGCAGCTTGGATGCTCTGGCCCAAGTATTCTCCTTGAGGGTGTGTTCGTTCATCCTCCAGGGATGGGGGTGGGGCTGCCCACTGGAGGTGCTCGGGCTTTAGATTGCACCTGTCTGATTGGTGAACATGGTATTATCAGGAGTGAACTTGAATGTCTTTTCATGTGACTAAGGCCCACTTATAATTCCTTTTCTGTGAGTTGCTTTATCCAATCCCATTTTCCTGTTTGGTGGTGACCATGACAGTTTTAATTTTTAAAGTATTTGGCCCAGATAGGTGATATGGGGGAGCTCTCTCTCTCTCTCTCTCTCTCTCTCTCTCTCTCTCTCTCTCTGTTTCTCTGTCTCTCTCTCTCTTTCTTTCTCCCTCACTGTCTCTTTTTCTTTTTGGAAGTTAGTGTATTTTTAAATTGCTGTTACTGTTCATCTGGTTCTATTTCATGATGAATTGAATTACCAAGTATCATCAGTAAAGATTATATTTGAAATTCAAGTAGTTATTAGTACCTACTCACGAGGTAGTTTGTAAATTTACGTAAGATACTTAGGGAATTCTCTGCTTATAAAAATTCATAGCTATAGTTTTCCATTTCCACACTTGGTTAACTATGTGGAATACTAGGCAGCAGTTAAAAAGACTGAAATGAGCCCTGGCCAGTGGCTCAGCTGGTTGGAGCATCATCCCGTGCACCAGAAAGGTTTCAGGTTTGATTCCTGGTCAGGGCACATACCTAGGTTTGTGGGTTCAGTCCCCCAGTTGGGGCATGTGTGGGAGGCAACCAATCAATGTTTCTCTCTCACATCAATATTTCTTTGTCTCTTTCCCTTCCTCTCTCTCTAAAATCAATGAAACCATATCCTTGGGTGAGGATTTAAAAAAATTTTTTAAGAATGAAATGAAGCTGTTAACACAGAGTGTCTCCAGAGTATACTGTTGAGGGGGGGCGGGGGGTAAGGCAGGTGGCAGAAAATTCATACAGTATATGATACCCTTTATGTCTAATAAATCAGAGAAGCCCCCAACGGCCCATTTCCTCTGAGTGTGCATATGAGTTTAAATCCACAATAAAGGCCCCGGAGAGAGACACCCCAATAGCATGCTCTCTGGGCTGGGGTGTCATCCCAGGGTACAAAGTGTTATATGTAATGTTATTTTCACTAGAACTCATCTATTGGTGTAATTAAAAATAATGGGTTTTTTTGCCCTAACCGGTTTGGCTCAGTGGATAGAGCGCCAGCCTGTGGACTGAAGGGTCCCAGGTTCGATTCCGGTCAGGGGCATGTACCTTGGTTGTGGGCACATCCTCAGTGGAGGGTGTGCAGGAGGCAGCTGATTGATGTTTCTAATCTCTATCCCTCTCCCTTCCTCTCTGTAAAAAATCAATAAAATATATTTTTTAAAAATAATAATGTTCTGTAAACTCTGCGGGATAGCAGGTGGGTTTGTTCAGTGCAGACCGGACTGTGAAAGGCAACATAAACCAGATGTAGGCAGCCACCACGGAGCTCTGGAGACACCTGGGAATTGTGGGTCCACCGGCTGATCAAGTTTTGGTTTCTTAGATTCTGACAGGCGAAGACTGGAATGCTGTGATGTATGACGGCATCATGGCGTACGGGGGCCCGTCATCTTCAGGGATGATCGTCTGCATCTACTTCATCATCCTCTTCATTTGTGGGAACTGTATCCTTTCGCTGACCAGGGTGTTGCTGTTGCCCCCTCTTGTTTGGTTTCTCCCTCTGACTCTCCCCATGGTGGCGTGGTGGCCGTTGTGATGGGGAGGTGAATGCCCTTACCCTGTTCTATCTGCCCTCCTTCACCGTTGCTGGGTCAGCAAAGGAGAGGCAGCGTCCCAGTGAGGCCCTGCAGGATGAGAGCAGGCTTGGAGGAGGGAGCCAGAGACAGTGCCTGGGCTGCAGCAGTGGTCACCCCTCAAGGTGTCGCATCTCTTGTGCAGGTCCCATGGGATAGCTCAGGGAAAGGCCAGGTGGTTCTCTGTGCCATCATCCTTGGGAGGCTGGGCACAGTTATATCTTCTTAAGACCCCTCATAACTGATGGGGACCCACCTTCAGTGGGCTGAACTAAGCTCCCGTAAATCTAACTTTACTTTGCTGACCTGTCCATCTTTGAAAGTCAAATATCCATTGACTGGTTGCTGTATCATGCTGTGTAACTTCTCCAACGTGTTTATTCCTTCTCCCTACCAAGAGGTACTCTCTAACCCCAGGCTTCTGGAAACTCAGGTCTCCCTTTACCTTGATTGGCACCTTCATGACCCCATCACCTTTGCTTGTGTCTCCTGTATCTTTCTGTCCTCCCTGCCCAGCACAAGACCTGGCTTGCAGAGCCCCTCAATAAATGCTTGGCGGAAGAGCTGTTGTACAAACATATGAATACCACCTCAGGCTCCCAGAGGCTCTGTGTAAAAAATAGGCTAGCATCTGGAAGACGGTTCGAAGTCTTAATATAATTCACTCACGTTCCTGCCCTCTTGAACGACTTGATTCGATTTGTCGAGCACGAAATCCCCTGGAAGCTGTCTTATCGTCGGTCCCTGTTAGGTGATGTTTGCATGTTCGGCACCCACCGGAGACCTCAGACTGCAAGGGCACGTGAGCAGTCCCGGCTCCCGCCTGTAGAGGGCTGTGCTCAGCCTGAGACGCTTAGTCAGGGGAGGGAGCCGCCTTCACTTCCTGCCCTCTCATCTGCTTCTCAAAAACAGACTTACCAGCTAGCAAATAAGAAACAGGCATCTTCTGATTTGGAAACCTTGTTCTGAATTCTTTTTTTAATTGTTTATGGAAACCACACTTACGTTATAGTAAAAGCCAAAAACCTTATAACTTGTTCAAATACCTAACTTTTTACTATTTGAAAAAATAAAATTCAACCACTGTAGTCAACGATTTAGCCACAGTGGGCCTATTCAAAAGAATAGTCCAGCACATCCAGCAGTGAGTCAGGCGTGTGGTGGTCAGGGGATGTGCAGTGAATGAATGAATGAATGAATGAGGTGTCTGTACACCCTGGAGGCCGTTTCCAATGAGAAAGGCTCAGACTGCCTTGTGCAATGGGATCCTCATTTGCATAATGTGTTGTCTTTGAAGGGGTCTATTTTGGAAAGCATGCCCAAAATATATATGTGCTATGGGTGTGCACATTTTAAATGAAACAAAACAAAATGCATAAAGCAAACTTGCAACATGAAAAGGACCCTCTGTGTTTGTGCTATAGATTGTCTTATGCAGTGTGTCTCATAGCTGTGGATACCTAGGTGTGTAGAGGCACACACGCGCATGCGCAAGCACACGTATGCACATGCATGAAAGGAAATGTTGACGTTTGTAGGTTTTCACGCAGTCTAGTGCATCTTAATTTTGCTTCTGTCCAGACTATCTTCTCCGCTTTTCTAGTTTTATAAAAGAAAACAACAACAAAAGCACACGGCTCTGGTCCTCTGGCTTTACAAGTGAACATGGCACTCAGGGACAGTGTCCCGTTACCAGCCTCCTGGAGTGCACAGGGGACGCGACGTTTCTATTGTTGACCGTGCATCAGAAAGGTGTTATACCCTTAAAATGTTCAAATTAGATATCCTACTGAATGTCTTCCTGGCCATCGCTGTAGACAATTTGGCTGATGCTGAAAGTTTGAATACTGCTCAGAAAGAGGAAGCTGAAGAAAAGGAAAGGAAAAAGATTGCCAGGTAAGCCTGTTTTCACCTAAGTTGCTGCTGGGGAGCCAGCTGCAGGTGAGGCCTGGCAGAGCCACACAGACTCCCACGTTGCTGCTCAGTGGTGATCGTGGATGGCCACGTGGGGCCGGCCCAAAAGGCTGGAATCTGGGGCAGAGCCCGGGCTCTTGGCTCGCCTTCCCTCAGAGCTGAGAGTGGGAGTCACATGTCCCCATGCCTAACGAATCGCTGCGGTTAATTTTGGCACCATAAAATAAATGATGCATTCAGTGCTGATTAGCTTTTGGATGAGAATTCTAATAAGATGACCCGTGAAATGAATCCAGTGCCCTGAGTGAGCAGGAAGCTCTGAGTGTGGGTTGTGCTGTGTTCTGGCTGGCAGGGTGGTTTTCAGTGAAATGCTGTCCTTCCCGGGCCACTGCTGATGCAGAGCCCTGGTGAGGGCTTTTATTCGCAGCAACATAGTCACTTGGTTTCTTGGGTTCTGTCCTCTCCTCTGTAGAAAAGAAAGCCTGGAAAATAAAAAGAACCACAAGCCAGAAGTCAATCAGATAGCCAACAGTGACAACAAGGTACATGATCTGAAACGCTTCCCCCCTTTCTGTTTCAAAATGATTCACCATAATTGTGCACTTTCCACCATGAGAGTGTTCTGTGTGATATTTCAGTGAGTTTGGCACACTCCTGTAGGGACTGGCCTCCGGGGGTTCTGAGTGAATTTAGGCACTTCACTGGTAATTAGCCAGTATTTTAGCAGAGAACCAGTGTGTTAGATGTTTGACTGGTCTAACCACTTATTTTGCTTTATTGGGCTTGTGCAATCAGACCTGACCTGTGAGTGTTTTCTCAGTGGCGATTGAAATCCAGGGCTGTGAATGGGTATCTGCCCGAGGAGACCGCAGGGCGAGGGCCTGTGTGCTCTGGCCTGTTCTGTGAAACCCTGTCCCACGGATGATAGCTCTGGGCTTTTCATGCACTTGGTTGTCTGTTCATTGAATCAGTAAATACTTTTTGTACAGTTACCATGTGTGAGAGACTGAGGACTGAGACTGAACAAGACCAACAAGTTCCCTAGCTGCATGGTGCTCACTGTCAGTATGTGATGCTGCTGGGCGCTGTGACCACAGCTGGGAGGGTGTCGCCTCATCTGCCCTCAGACCTCAGTCTCCACGGGGTCACTGCCTGGGCATCTGCTGCCCTTGCACACTCACGGCCGTCACACTCTGAAGGGACTTTTCTGCCCCATTCTGAGTGGCAGAGTTGAGTCCTCGCTATGGCATTTAAATCAGAATCTCCCCTCCTCCCAAGATCTCTCTGTCATCCTAGGTCATAATTGATGAGTACCAAGAAGAGGATGAGGACAAGGACCCCTACCCACCCTGCGATGTGCCAGGTATGGTGACCGGCTTGGCCACCACTCTATGATCAGCGGCTGCCTCTGCGGCTGCTAGCCCAGCTGGATGCACACTGGGCCGCCCAGGTCGCCTGGCTGCCGAGGCCATGAGTCCAGTCCCCTGCTTTTTCTTTGGGTCACAGGCAGCTTACATAACCCACATTCCAGGTGGTGGGAGAGAAAGTATAGGTGGATCAGGATAACCCCAGCCTTTGCTGGGAGTTCTCTCTAGGGACAACCAATAATTACAACTCATCTGACACTTTCCCATTTGACCGGTGCCTTTACTGGCTGATGTAGGAGGGACCGTGGTGGTAGAGGAGCCTGGAGGACTGATCATGTGTGACTTGAAGCCCCACAGTGTTTTGGGCCGAAGCTGAGCAAGGAGGTCACTGGGGACACAGCTGTGCTGGGGGATGGCCGTGGGAATCACATTGTTGCCGCCTCTTACCTGCGCTTAGATCTTCAACTGCTGGGCACCTCAGCCCCACAACTACACACCCTCACGTGCAGGCAAGCTGCTCAGTCCCTGCCTCACCCCCGACACACACACAGCCCATATTCTAAAGGGTTTTGATTCTTGTAAGCTGATAGATGTTGTTAAAGTTTAAGCTAAATTTCCATGTGACATCGAGAATGATTAGAACCCAAATTCAGCCTTTGTTTCATGCCTATAAAAAAGTGTCTCGTTTAAAGTAGGGGAAGAGGAAGAGGAGGAGGAGGAGGAGGATGAACCCGAGGTCCCAGCTGGCCCCCGTCCTCGCAGAATCTCGGAGCTGAACATGAAAGAGAAAATCGTCCCCATTCCGGAAGGGAGCGCTTTCTTCATTCTTAGCAAGACCAACCCGTAAGTACCCCGTCTCCAGTCACATCCCTGTGCCCTCCAGGTTGCATGATGGGGAGGGTGGCTGGGCACGGGGCGGCTCCTTTCTGGACCTGAACAAGGGAGCCCACCCCCCCAGGCTCCAACCCCTCCCCAGCCCCAGCCTTTGTCCTCTGCTCATCTCTTCCTAGCCTTGCTTTCCTGGATGTAGGGGCTCAGGGGTGTGGCCCGGGCTGGGAGGAGCCTAGTCCAGATTCTCCTCCCCTTCACCCCTGCGCTGGGCTCGGCAGTGGTGAAATAGCTGCCTCTCCTCAGAGCCCACGGCTCTGGCCTTTCCTGGGTGGTCACCTGTGACGTGTTCTCCATCCAAAGGACCCTTTCTTCACCCCTGGGTCTTCTGTTAGGATGCTTTGGGGGTGGGGATTTTGTCACCGACTTCTGCCCAGCATCTTCATCCTGAGATCTAGTCCGGCTGATCACTTTTCCCTGTTGATTTTTCTGGCAATAAATAATATTGCTCAATGATACCTTTTAGGTTGGGCTAGTTGGTTCAGCTCTATGACATCCTGCTTAACATGGCGTTGCTCATGTTAGCATGACAAGCTGCTCACCAGGAGCATGGCCCTTGCTCACAGGTACGGGAAGAGGAAGGTGCTTCTTTACTGGCTGGGTTCTGGGTTTTCCGTCATCTGGGACCGAGAGAAATGCCAGAGGGAATAGATGGCTCCTGGAGGTTCTAGAATCGCAAGAGCAGTTCCCGGCCGTCGGAGAAGAACTCTGTGGTTCTCAGGCCCCGGGAGACACAGGCGGGAAGCAAGGCCGGCTGTGGTCCTGAGAGACTTGCAGATTTGATGATAGCTTTTCCACTCATCACTGTTGAGAGTTTGGGCATCCCTGATGTTACTGACACCCATAGCCCACTGTCTACCTATATTGAAGGACGGATTGATTCCCTGCTCTTAGCCCTGGGCAGCCTTCCTCAGACTCAGTTGCTATCAGCTTGCACCGATGGTCCAGGGCACATTTCAGCCTTAACCAGCCCCAAAGGGAGGATCTGAAGCAAGGAGTCACTTTTCCTATAGAATTGACTCCAGTTTTGAAAGTGAAAAAAATCTTTCCAAAGGAAAACCTACATGTATTCTATAGGCAAAAAAAAAAAAAAAATCTTTAAATTCTAAAGTCAAGTGTTGGGGTGAAGGGTAGTCAAGTACTGACTAGCTCCCGGACGTCAGGGGCGGCAGGGAGCTCCGATGGCCACGGAGCCATTGTGGGGGTGAGGGCTGGACGGGGGCGCTCGGCACATGTTGCCCTCTGGGCTTCATGGGACTCTGATGCCCTACCGCAGGTACACTAAGATCCTCGTGAGATTCTTGCGTGCTGATGTAACTCTCACTTCCATTCTCAGGAGTGCTCATTATGGGTCAACTCCAAATAACAATAATAATAATAATAATAATAATAATAATAATAATAATAATGCTGCAGTCCTATGACCGAATCGCCACATAACAGGACATTCATCAAGCCTCCCTCACTGCAGCCTATGTTAGCACAGCCCCGCTGCAGTACGAGAAAGGGATCGCTCCTTCCATTTGTTGCAAGCTGCTGCGATGATGAGCTCCCACCTCAGTCTCCCTTCTCGGTCGGGAAAGTAAGCGCCAGGCTTCATGTTGTAGCAGGAAACGTCACCGTCAGCCCGGGATGGAAATCCTGAGACAGTTCTTTCACAGGCTTAAGCCTCAGTCTCTTCTCCTTCAGCAGGTGGCAGTCCCCACGTTGAAGGACTCTGGATGGTGTCCGTGAGCTCCCACACAGAGCCGCACCCAGGCCCGCAGGGTCTGCCGTGCAGGGGTTTCGAGGGGCGACGGTCAGGTGGTTCTGGTCTGCTGGGTGGGTGTGGGCGGCACAGCGACGGCCGCCCCTGCCTGACCCGGGCCAGCATGCGGGGCCGGGGTGCTGGCTGGGCGAGGTCCATGCGACGGCTCTCCCCACAGCATCCGCGTGGGCTGCCACAAGCTCATCAACCACCACGTCTTCACCAACCTCATCCTCGTCTTCATCATGCTGAGCAGCGCGTCCCTGGCCGCCGAGGACCCCATCCGCAGCCACTCCTTCAGGAACATTGTAAGCCACCGAGCGGGCGAGGACAGGCGGGTGGGTTCCTGGGTCGTCCCTGGCCTCTCCTGTCGCCCACGCAGAGCCCGGGAGGCCGAAGGGGCTAAAAGCTAGAGTAGGCATCACGGTCCCCTGCAGGCACTTCATGGTTCCCACTTGTAAGCACCAGCCAGGTTTTGTCTTATCAGGACAAAGCTTTCCTGAATCGTGTACTTTAAACTTCATTTTAAATCACTTGTAGTGTATTCGGGGAGCCCACTTCTCTTCCTCTACATTCCTGGCCGCCAATATTCTGGTCCCTCTTTTTTCCCACGGCCCAGTTCTCATCTGTGCTGTTTGGATGCTTCTGCCGAGTGGGAGACTCAGCAGGAGGGAAAGTAAAACTGAGACGAGGTGTGAGGCATGCCCAGGGCTTCCTGAGGGCTGGAGGGGAAGACTTCGGTCCCACAGGGATGGCCAGTCACGAAGCTACCTGGCTGGGTCACGGGGAGAAACACAAGTCAGGGAGGTGATGCAGTGTGGAGCTGAGTGGTTCTGTGAGAGGAAGGTGGGGCAGAGGCGGTTTTATGAAGAAAACTAGTGGAGGGTTAAGTTTTCTAGAACGGGTTTCATAGCGTAGGGGTGGCACCTTGCCCTGCGGATGCTGGACAGCACGGTGCCCAGACAGTTCTCGCCTAAGAAGTCCCAGCTTAGCAGGCAGCTGGTTCCGCCGAACAGTCCCAGCGTGAGACGGTTTGGAACCAGGACCTGCTGCCTCTCCGCCCTGATACTGCAGCGCAGTTTCAGATGGTAACTCAGAACCCTCCCAGGCGAGGGCGGCCGGCATGAGGCCATCAGGCGTCGCTGCCGTGCCTGCGTGGGACCTGTGTCTGCTCATGAGGTTTAGAGATTTGAGGATTAAAACCAGTCACCAGATCAGTGCCCCAGGATTTCGGTTGTGACCACCAACTCTCGTGCGGTCTTTCCATTTCCAGCCTCTCGGTTTGAAGCCTGGCAAACCCAGCCTATCAGACTGATAAACACACACTCTGACAGGAAGATAAAGAACTTTCCTCCAAGGCACGTGCTGGTGCTGATGTAACGATAACAGCCCCGAGCCTGTCTTAATCTCTACATGCAAATGGAACAAAGACCCGTGTCGTTGAGTTCCATGATAAACATGAGACCGAAGGGAAAAATACCATCACACGGCAGACTAGGTCCGGAGCTCGCCTGGAACACAGATTGACGGAGAATTAATTTACATCGGGGCCTCATAGTCTCATTTTTTATTGTAGTTACTTGCCCATTACTTGCCCATGAGTTTACTCCCCTGCTGCTTCCCCCAAGAATGCTGTTTTTAAATAGATGTACATCTGTGTGTGTGCATTGCTTTTTAAAGCACAGTTGTTGTTTTTTATAGTGGTAACATTTAACATGAGGTCTACCCTTTTAACAACATTTTGAGTGTACAGACGGTATTCGTAGTGATGGGCATTGTATGACAGGAGCTGTGTCCACTGGACAGCTCCCCACGTCCCCTCCCAGCCCCTGACCACCTCCATTCCACTTTCTGACTGTGCATTTGACGACTTTATCTCATGTAATTGCGATCCTACAGTACTTTTTGTTTTGCTTTTGAACTCCGCTGACTTATCAATGAAAAGGAGAAAGGAGGCCAAGTGGATCTGAGAGCGCTGACCCTCGGGCGTGGGCAGCATGCTTTTCTTGGCCGCCCAGGGGCTGTCAGCAGTAAAGTCCTGCTGTGACCGTGGAGGAAAGGAGGAGGAGGGGCAGAGGCCTGTAGAGGGTGACATGCTTTGCATGGCCTGGCCAGAAACACAGATACGCAAAGTTTATATATTCAAAAATGGATGCCCTTTGGATAATGAATGCTCTCTGAGAAGAGAATTTAACCTCGAGCTGAGGAGAGCTGGCTTTGGGGCAGAGGTCCTCACCTTATTGTAACAGAGAGCAAAGGCCTCCTTGGGGTGGACACTTCAGCAGCTGGGCCCGTGGCTCCCAGCTAGCGTTCTGCAGGCCTCGCTCCATGCTCCGTGATGCCAGGACTGGCTTCGTGGCCCGGGCAGGCAGCCCTGTGCCCTCCCCGGTAGCCTCATCTGTTAAAGGAAAGGAGTACCTGGCTTGTTACCAGACTCCTTCCCAATGCTGATCTGCTCAGTTCTTTCAACCTAAGACCACAGTTGTCACAACAGTAAGTAGCTGAGACGGCTGCTTCTCCTGGTGGTCTCCACTGTCTCCTGGTGGCTGAGGTCCCCGCGAGCAGTCTTCCTTCAGTGGCAGTCAGACCTCTTGCTGCAGCCCACCTGCCCCTCTCTCCTCCCCCACGGCTCTGAGAAAGGCAGAGACCCCAGAGGGGCAAGCCGGTTGGAGAATAGACGGTATTCTCAGGAATACTGACCAAGTAGCCTGGACTGATGATTCGTTAACCGGGTCACCTCTTCTTCGGGTGGGCCCAGTGAGGTTAAAAAGCAGTGTTGGGAGAGAGAGGGCTTGATGCAGAGTGAGTGAGGTGGTGAGTGAAACTTCCCTGAGGGCTTACCCAGCCCCACACATCGGGGTGCGGGGAGGGGGTGGGTACTTAACTCCCTGAGGAAATGGGCTGGCATTGGAGGGGACTCGAGGAAGCTTCCGGCCCCTTTTGATGCCTCTTGCATCATTATTTATATTTCCCCACCAATCTAAAGCTCAGCTGGATGGCAACATATTTCATTCAGCCAAGGATGCAGTTAGAAATTCAAGATGTGTGTGAGGCTCTAATTTATCTGGTGCCACGAGTAATGTGTCAACGTGGTGCTCCGATGAGAAAGGGTTATTAATAAAGCACGTTTAGAAACGAGTCTCTGTCTGAGACGTGAGACTGGGGAGGGTGGGCACGAGCGGCTGAGGAGGTAAGTAGTTCCAAGTGCTCTTGGCATTTGTGAGCATTTCTGCGCTTACCTCCAGAGAGACAGGCTTGTCCCGGGAGGGCCTCCGACTGCAGGTGGGATTCCACCCTTGGGCGTATGGCTGTGGGGCCTGTCCGGGTGCCTTTCTCTCATGTCGTTGTTATGCCTTTCAGATACTGGGTTACTTTGACTATGCTTTCACAGCCATCTTTACTGTTGAAATCCTGTTAAAGGTAATGGCGTTTTCATTGATCCTCACATATTCTAGTGCCGCTGTAGCAATAATAGTTTCACTTCTCTGCTTGCTTTCCAGATGCTAGGTTATGCAGACTATGTCTTCACAGCTACTTTTGCGTTTGAGATTGTTTTGAAGGTAACAGGTTCCGCAGGGTGTGTGTAAGGGGCCTGCTCCTGCGTGTGACACACCGCAAAGCAGCGTCAAGTGCTTTGGATTATTTTTGTGGTTTTTGTTTTTTGTTTTTCTGTCTGTGATCAAGCGTATACTTTTTATTTTTTTAATCAGAGGATTTTTTTTCCCCTGAAACTTCAGCCTGTTTTTGCTCTTTCCTTTTAATCCTTGATGCATGTAGGACTTCCTGTGGCTTCATGATAGTGATTGGAAATGATGCTTTGTTCTTTTTTTATATCCTCTGAACTGTGTCAACTGATCACAGACACATCACCATGTGTGAAGTTTCTCCCACCCTTCCCGGCATCAGAGTCGGAGGAAATGCATTTATCCCGTGAAGGGCATGGATCTCTTCTCGTGTTTTTGACTGAATTACGATCCAGTGGCCTAAAAATAGTAATAGCACTATTTTCTTGCAACAGGATTTGCAAGATAACTTGAATCTGTTTGTGTTAAGATATTTTCTATCTGTTTTAATGGATGGGCTTACATTTACACAGACAAAAGGAGCACCTTTTGGCCAGGGTGCCCTAAATGTACTGCCCATGCATGAGCTAACAGGTGCCATTGCTGCATGCGGTTCGTGTACTGAGAGTGAGAGCCGCCCGGGGAGCTCATTCCTGCGCACCCAGCGGCCTGGAGACCAACCGCAGAGAGCCCAGCACCCCCTGCCCCCGACTCGCGAAGTGGTGTGGGTCCTAGCAGTCCTGGATAACGTGGCTTGTGACAACTGTCAGAGCAAATCATCTCCCCGTGGGGCGATGAGCTGGGAAATGAGGAATTTTAACCACAGTTTTCTTTAAACCATTTTGAGGTTTTTTTTGTGGGTTCATCTCAGGGGGGGGAAATGTATTTTACGTTAGACTACTATGGAACTTGGGCTCTTTACAAAATCTTCTGTAAAATGAAACCTCAATTAGCATGGCTCAGGAATAGGGTATTTATTTTCTTTCTATTATTATTATTATTACTTGGCAATGAAAACAGTGCAACACCAACTAAACAACCAATCTCTGTGTAAACATTAGTTAAAAATCTAAACATTTTAGTTCATTTTCTTGCCTTGAAGCCAGTGAATTTGGTTGTCAGTTCTAAGTCAGACCCGTGCCCAGGTCCGTGAGCAGATTCTAATAGCGGTCTCCACGGTAAGGAGCACAGAGGCGGAAGGCAGTGGGTGGGCGTGGGGTGAAGGGCACTCACCCAACCTCTGCTTGATCCCAGCTGCTTTTAAAAAAAATTTCCCTTCTTTTCCTTAAACCAAATGGGGAAATGTTCTACTTAGTCTGTTAGCCTGGTTAATTGAGGTTTTATTTTATTTTCCACATGTCTTAGTTGTTAAATGAAGTAGTTACTTTCCGGCTTTGGGGCAAATGAAATACAGGTTTATTTAAAAGGAAAAAAATATATTGCTTTTCAATTTCTGTATATTTACCTCAGTCACACAAACCTTCCATGTCATTCATGATTTTGAAAGTATTTTAGAGAGCGGAAAATAAGCTAAAGCAAGGATTCAGAAAACGGAGATTTGCCAAGAAGCATCCGACGTATGAAATGGTGGTTCCTGGTGGCCTTGTGAAAATTTGGAAGGCTTTTTGGTTATTTGATTTAACACATGAAATTACCATTTTTGTAAGTCAGAAAAAGGTTGAGTGTTGCCAATTTCATATGGTCCAATTTTATTAGTTCCCAACTCTGTCTCTCCTCTCTGACACTTACCTGAGTCTTCCCCACTCTTTTACTTTTTTTAATTTATTTTTTGTATAAACACTGAATTCTTTGTGTTTTGCTGTTTCCATTCTGGGGAACTTCCTCACCCAACTCCTTCCCCATCACCAGTAAGAGCCTCACGGGAGCACCCACGGTGTGGGCTCCAGGTGCTTGAGGGCTGTGACTGGAGAGCAGTGGGATGACTTAGGTGAGACGTGGGTGACGCTTCCTAGCCACACCTCTCCACCTAGAGAACTGAGTGGGAAGAGCTGGGTACAGTGGATGTACCACTAAGGACCATTAGGAGCAGGAAGAGGCCTCCCTGGCAAAGTACTGGTTTCTGTGTAGACAGAGCCGGTGAGTACTGGGCCCCAGCACTTTTAAAAAAATATTTTTATTGATTTTAGAGAGCGAGAGAGAGAGAGAGGAACGTTGCTGAGAGAGAGAAACATCGATCAGCTGTCTCTTGCACAAGCCTGCAACCCAGGCATGTGCCCTGACCTGAAATTAAACCAGTGACCCCTTGGTTCATGAGTAGAAAGAAGTTCAGCCACTGAGCCACACCGGCCAGGCCCTAGCGCTTTGTCCAGCCTCTGGGTTGGAACAGTGTAGACTCTCCCAGGGACTCAGGGCCTGAAGCAGCTTTGTGTGGGGAAGCCAAGTTGTCTGGGCAGCAAGTATGGTCATGTGGACTCTCTCCTGAGACAGGCTCTCTGGACATGCCAGTGTTGTTCATGTTTGAAATTTGTTGTTGCTGTAATAAAGTCTAAGTTGTTCTCTTCTTTTAATATGTCCCCAAAGTGAGCTTCCCTTTTTCCATTTCTGAACAAATTATGCAGATGCTCAGCCCTGTTGGCTTACATTTCTGGCTTCATAGTGCACGCTTGTTAGTAAAGATAGACTGTCCTCCAGGGTTGTAAAGAGCCCAGGTTTCTCTTCCTCTGGGGAGGAAAACCAGTCAGCTCACCCAGATTCTGCCCGTAGATGACGACCTTTGGAGCGTTCCTCCACAAAGGGGCCTTCTGCCGGAACTACTTCAACTTGCTGGACATGCTGGTCGTCGGGGTGTCTCTGGTGTCCTTTGGGATCCAGTAAGTATTCCGGGGTGTGGGTGCGTACACACCAGGACTGCTGGGCAGGATGGTTTACATGAGGAATTTCAACATGATTCGTAAAGGCTGGGCATCATTTTAATAATCACACTTAGGTACCTGGCAAAGCTTAATGGGTACCTAGGTCAGAAAGCCCTGGGCAGTCCCTGCTTTCCTGTGTTTCTCTTGTCCTTTTCGTGCCCATTGCTAGCTTGGACTTATTGTTCTCTGTGATATCTGCTTTCAACGGAGAGTGAAAGAAGCCAAGTTCTAGTTCAAAGCATTTTATCCAGCTTCCTCCAGGGCTGGCCCCAGGACCTTGAGGGCATCCTCTTGCTTCCCCATCTGTATGGGAGGGACGTGGGCCAGGTGGCTTCTTGGAGCCCTTTCTACTTTGGGTAGTGAAGGTTCCCTTGATCTCCAGGACATATGACCCTTTTCCTTTACCCTCTAAAATTTTCACCTAGGAGGGGCCTGAGACAAGTCTCAGGGAGAGGTTAGCTCAGCTCCACACGGGACCCACCACGCTGTGCTGTGGTAGTAAAATGAGAGCCAAGTGTGACAGTCTCCGTGTTTCATCCAACTCTAATGCCCTCTGCCTTCTTTCCTCCCCGTTTCTCCCCTTAGATCCAGTGCCATCTCGGTGGTGAAGATTCTCAGGGTCTTAAGGGTCCTGAGGCCGCTCAGGGCCATCAACAGAGCAAAAGGACTTAAGGTTTGGGCCTCTCTCCTGCAGGCTGGGCTGGCTTCGGCGGGGTTAGCTCTATTTACTGACTTTGCTGGGCTCGCGCTGGGCTGAGACCTGATGGATTTTAAAGTGGGTTCACCTTTGAAAAGGGCATTTCTACCCAGTGGAGTGTCCTCTTTCAAACCTGATACCATTTTTAAGTGTTATGATTGCCTTTATTTTCATTTATTTAAAATATTTTCTTTAATTACTCAGCATTTATTACTTTTATATTATTAATGGTGTTTACTTTGGTCTTTAAATCTATTCTCATGCAGGTTGTACAAAAGAGGGTTTATGTTTTCCTAAGTTTTTTTATGGGGTGGGAAGTCCTGTGGGCCTATGTGCCAGGCAGTGCCGCCCCCCCGCCCCCCGCCCCCCGCCCCGTGGGAGGAAGCCAAGGTGGGACCCATTACAAGGTGCTCTTCCCAGGCAGCCATGATGCACTAGGGCTAACTCCCCACAGTTAACAGAGCCCCACAAAGTCAGGAAGTCATATGCAGATGCGCAGACACATAAACAGTCTTGGCTGGTATTAGTCTCCCCTTCATCCTCTCCCTGCTCTCTCCCCCAGCACGTCGTCCAGTGCGTCTTTGTGGCCATCCGGACAATCGGCAACATCATGATCGTCACCACCCTTCTGCAGTTCATGTTTGCCTGCATCGGGGTCCAGTTGTTCAAGGTACAGGACGTGCCTTGGGGCATGAGGCCCAGATGATCTCTTCAGGGGCAAGCTTGCCTTTGACTCTCTGTGTCTGTTTTGTACTCAGGGAAAGTTCTATCGCTGCACAGATGAAGCCAAAAGTAACCCTGAGGAATGCAGGTGAATGTCCCGCACACAGGAGTGGGAAATTGGGAAGGACAAATGGAAGACTTGCAGGATTCGCCTGTGCTGGCATTTCAAAAGGCGTGGGCTCCCTGAGGCCTGTGTGCTCAGCCCACAGCTGCAGCGATGGAGGGTTTCTGGGGTTTTTTTGTTTGTTCTTTTGGTTTGAGGTGAAATTCTCATCACATGAAGTTAGCCATTTTAAATCATACAATTCAGTGGCATTTAGCACAATCTCTTTGCGGTTTAAGCACCACCTCTATCTAGTTACAAAGCTTTTCATCACCTCAAAACAATGGAGAGATGGCCTTTGATGTTTGGTATAGACTCTACAAACTAGAGGGGAGGGGACTAAACCCTAAAATAACAATTGAAATGCCCCAGAAATCTCACCCTACAGCAAGCATGTCAAACTCAAAGGCTAACACAGGCCAAATAAATGAGGCATGCAGCCTGCGGGCCGTGAGTTTGACATACTTGCCCTACAGCCACATGGGTAATTTTTCCGCAAACCAGAACTCATAGCTCAACTCCCTGGAATTCAGGTGCTGGCTGCCATCTTCTGATAGGTTTCCTGCCACCCACATTTTGGCCATATTTCCATTCACAAGAACAGACAGAGGCGAGATAAGGTGGGAAATACTCGTGCCTCTTATCCCAAGCCATGCAAAAGAATGTGAAGGCAGACACGGAAACCATGACCTAAAGCAGCCGTGGGCAAACTACGGCCCGCGGGCCGCATTTGAAATGAATAAAACTAAAAAAAAAGACCGTACCCTTTTATGTAATGATGTTTACTCTGAATTTATATTAGTTCACACAAACACTCCATCCATGCTTTTGTTCCGGCCCTCCGGTCCAGTTTAAGAACCCATTGTGGCCCTCGAGTCAAAAAGTTTGCCCACCCCTGGCCTAAAGTCTAAGACTGTGCAGAAGTCCCTGTGTCCCCATCCTTTGATGATGTCCCCAAGGGAGGTCCAGCTGCCTCCACTGGTTTGGGGTTTCTTTTTAGCAGAAGGTGCAGTCAGAGAACACCAATGTAATGCGCTGGCTCTGCCCCTCCAGGGGCACCAGGCCTGTGGGCTGGGGGTGGAGGGCGCCCCTGAAATTGAGCAGCAACAGTGTGACGTCACCTTCCTTTCCCCCTCCAAGCCTCGCTTCCTCATCTGTAAAACAAAGACATTGACTCCTTCCAGAAATGAAATTCTATGAGAAATATCATGTGCCAGAAATTATAGAATCTTGGGGGGAAGTGGGGATATTGTTGGTATAAAGAAGGAATTCAATTAAAGCTAAAATGCAGATTAAGAGGATGCCTGGGCTGGTTTCCAGAGCTTATGGAATTCTCCAAGGCCGAAGCTTTTGGTTCTTCGGTGTACATGCTGAGCCCAGTGCGTATGAGAAATGCTTATTGTTTGGTAGTTTTCGTTCGTTATCCAGCATATGCCGGTGGCTGCCTAGTTGCTCTGGAGAATACTCATTAAGCTAGTAGTTACTCGACAGTTATGTGAACTGGAGAGGAGATTGAATACAGGGCAGGAGAAGGAGAAACGCAGGCGGTGCCACGCTCAGGTCAGTGGCCTGGCTGGCGGACCAAGCGTGTCGGTGCCTGCAGTGTGGGGATGGGGCAGCTGTGACCGATTTCTCGTCACGCCAAGACGACCCACATTTCTTTTCCTCTCTAGGGGGCTTTTCATCCTCTACAAGGACGGGGAGATTGATAACCCTGTGGTCCATGAGAGGCTCTGGCAAAATAGCGATTTCAATTTTGACAATGTCCTTTCTGCTATGATGGCGCTGTTCACGGTCTCCACGTTCGAGGGCTGGCCTGAGTAAGTACAGAGGGACGTCCGCAGGGAGGCGCCTCCGGCCTCAGGGCACTCCAGCCATCCTTCTCTCCTGAGTGAGTCCTGCTTTTCTCGGCAGTTTCAGGCTTTCCCTGTGATTTTTAAACTTTGGGCCACTTATCAATCACTTCTTGGCCCACAGGGCCCCTCTGTCTGATTAGACAAAGGATTAAGCTTTGTGGCCAGCCTTCAGGACTCTCAGATTTGGGGAACCAGGAGAGGAGGGCATAGCTCCTAGGCAGGGGCTCATCTCAGCTGGCTCCTGGGGAGCAGCTCTGGATGGAAATGGGGAGCCCTCAGAGGCATTTGTTTGTCATGCCAACTCCCATTGGTAGCCATGTCAGTAAAGCTAAATAGGGTCACTAAATAGGAACTTGATAATGTCCTAAGCCATTTATCCATCCATCCACCCATCCATCCATCCACCCATCCATCCATCCATCCATCCATCCATCCATCCATCCATCCACCCATCCACCCATCCATCCATCTCTCCATCCACCCATCTATCCGTCCACCCATGCATCCACTCACCCATCCATCCATCCCTAGTACTAATATGTGCCAGGTGTGGATGGCTGCCATTGTGCCATGTCTTTCACAGAGGCACTCACATGCTCATTCATCAAATGTGCTTTTGGTACCAGCTCCAGGTGACATGTTCTGCTAGGCACCGTGGGAAAAAACAGTTGTCTCGACATGGTTCCTCCCTTCAAAGCCCAAATTCAGTTAGTGTGTCAGGTGATCAAACCAGGCAGGAGGGTCTGGTGTGTCACAGGTGTGCAGAATAGGGTCCTGAAGAATGGCTAGGGTATTGATGGGCAGGTAAGAAAAGCAGGAAGAAGGAAGGAGGTGGAATACCAAAGGAGGGTCTCTTGTACCCTTGCTACTCTCTGTTCTCTGCTGCCCCACCCCACCTCTAGCTCCTGCCACCAGAGCATAGGTACCTAGATGGATTCCTGAATGTCAAGTTCCCAGGCCTAGAGGGACTGCAGAAGGTGGACAGGCTGGTCTTCTCAGGCTGGCAGACCCCCTCTGGATGCACGAGAGAGCCAGGGAGCTCTGCAGGAGAGCCTGCAGGGAAAGGACGGCTGGGCGGGGCTGCTCATTAGGGAACTGGTGCTGAGGAGAGAAGAGGCGTGGAGTAAGATCTTTTACTCTACGGAGGTTTTGAGTCTGAGGTTTCGAACATTGTGCTTTAGCAAATCATGGGGGTAGCTGAGGGGAAATGGACAAGCTTGGGACTTGGGGCTCAGAGGAACTGGGCTCAACTCTGGGTCTGCCCCTGAGGAGTGTGACCCTGGGCACTGAGCTCCCTCTCTCAGCTCCCATCCGATGGGGTGACAATGATGTCTGCCTTTGCAGATGGATGTGAAGGTGTGTAGCATAGCGCACCCAGGGGTGGGTGCCCTGGAAGTGGTGACTCTGCATCAGAATGGGGTTGAATTTAACTTGGGGCCTTATAGTAATGTCCCCTCTCCCTGTGGAGCTCTGCCTGGCTTGTATTTAATTCAGTGTGTGTTTCCGTTTGGGGAAGCTCTCTGAGTTCTTTGGAAATCCATGGTTGCTTGCTATTGTCTTTGTCAGTGTGCAGTTTTCAGTTCAGCCAGTGCCTAACATGAGACGTTCCTCCTCTTCTACCTGGGAATAGGAAGGACTGTGATTGAATACTTGTGAAATCTTTTGTTTCTCATTCCTCCAAGCATCAATCACAAATATATCCCAGCTGCCCCACCTAAGTGCTGGGCTGACTGGGCCTCACACTAACCAGGGTGCCTCAGAGACCCGCCTGTGTGTAGGGGCCTCGGGGAGGGGGCTCCCGTGCGGGGTCTGACCGTCGGTGCCATGGGGACATGCAGAAGAGGGACGCCCTGGGAAGGCAGTGGGGTGGGGCTCCCAGACTGGGTGGGGCTGTCGGCTCATTGGGTCCTTCTGCTCTCCAGGTTGCTGTACAAAGCCATCGACTCGAACGGAGAGAACGTGGGCCCGATCTACAACTACCGCGTAGAGATCTCCATCTTCTTCATCATCTACATCATCATCGTCGCTTTCTTCATGATGAACATCTTCGTGGGTTTCGTCATTGTCACGTTCCAGGAGCAGGGAGAAAAAGAGTATAAGAACTGTGAGCTGGACAAAAATCAGGTTAAAGTCACACACTGTTTGGGCTTCCATCCCTCGAGCAGGAGAGGGATTACTTCTCTGTGGATGGTATCACCATGCACAGCGGAAGGTGCTGCCTGTGTGTGTCCCTGGGCTTTGGGCCCTGCTCAGAGCACACCCATGGCCAGTCTGAGTCATTGCTGTTGAAAGTGAGGTTGTCAGATTCAGACTTGACTTTGTTATTGTGGGATCCACCCCTAGACCTGGGCCACCTCTGTGGTCGACCCACCGGTGACAGCTCTCAGTCTCATCTGGTGGTGTGTCCAGAGGCCGGAAGGCACCAGTGATGCTCCCAGAGCTCCTAACGACCGTCTTTTATCTCCTCAACCTCAGCACTGTTGGCATTTCAGGTCGAGAGTTATTGCTGTGCTTTGTAGCGTGTTTAGCAGCATCCCTGGCCTCTACTTGCTAGATTGCAGTAGCACGCCCCAACCCCTGTTTTTGGTGACAACCCCAAACATCTCCAGATGTTGTCAGATATCTCCTGGTTGGGAACCGTTGGTTAGGAGGAAGTGCGCTATCACACCACAGGAAGAGGCGCTAACTTTAAAGTTGGGACTAAGATCGCCCTGGCATCAATCTCTCATTATCTAGCACCTTGTTTTAACCAACCCGATAGAAGCAGCGGCCTTGGCTCTGATTGTGTGATGGTGCGAGGGAGCCAAGTAGCCTGCATCCTGGTCCCGGTCTCCCTGCACCTGCTCAGGGACTGTGGGTGTGTCCCTGATCCCCTTTGGGTCTGGTCTGTGTCTAAATTGAGGGCATTCAGGAGCTGCCTGTAGAGGCCCCTTTCAGCCTTAAAAGATTGTGAGCTGGAGATGCTGCTTTGGGAGTTTCCCCGGGTCCTCTATCATTGGCATCTTGGTTTGATGATGACAGAGTGAGCAAGAATAGTCTGCCAGCCTGGGCTTCCTGGGGGAAGTGGCTGTGGTGAGGCAGTCTGCTGTCTCGGCTGCAGCCATGCCCACTGGGGGACACATGAGGACAGTGCTGGCTTGGTTCCTAGGAAGCTGTTGCTTTGAGTTGTCAGGACATCGCTGCAGATTCCACCAGTGACAGTCAGAGGGAGGCCTGGCTCCGCTCCTCACCCCCGGCTGGGCAGCACCAGAGCCCAAATTATGTCACCACCGAGATCCAGAGCAGACTCAGCTTGGGGGTGGGGGGACTCTCCTGGAGTCACTGTGTGAGGTCATAGCAGGGCCAGGGCCCAGACAGGAGGGAGCCTGTCTGAAGTCAGTCAGAGCTGAGTCTAAGCAGAAGAATGGGAGTAGGTCTGGGCCAAGGTGCCAGCAGCGCCTGATGCCGAGCTGTCGGGGCTGGAGGCTCCTCCCGGGCTCACTGCAAAGGGTGGACCAGTCTCGGCCCCAGAGTGAGTGGGGAGGCCATCGTTACTGACCCAGAGGTCTGAGAACGGCAAGCCCCTGAGCCTCAAACGCTTGCAGATGGACACACAGCTAGCTCACCGTTAGTCACTCACAGTTAACACACTCCGTCCTGAGAGGTGACTTGCATGGGTCCATCCTGGAGCAGCTGTGGGGCTCTAGTCTCAGGCAATGAACCAGCCTGTCGGGGGCTTGGGGATGTCTGTGCCTCTTCGTGACCTGGTCTCCTCTCCTAGGGGACAGTGTGGGCAAGAGAACTGGAGGTCTAACCCACTGGCGTAGACAAGGGTAGGAACGAGAATTGGGGCAAGGCCCATGTCTCTGCTTGTGCACCGTGTGATCTCAGGCGGGCCATTTGCAGCTCTGGGCTCAGTTGTGGGTTGGTTGGTTGTTTTGGTTAATCCTCACTAGAGGATATTTTTTCCATTGATTTAGAGAGAGTAGAAGGGAGGGGGAGGAGAAGAGGGGAGAGAGAGAGAGAAAGAGAGAGAGAAACATGGATGTGAGAGAGCCACATCAATTGGTTGCCTCCCCAAGCTCCCCAACTGGGATGGGAACCTGCAACCCAGGTATGTGCCCTTGACCTAAACCGAACCCGCAACCCTTCAGTTCCCAAGCTGGTGCTCTAACCACTGAACCATGCAGACCAAGGCTTGGCTCAGTTTTGTAATAAGTAAAATAGAAGCAGTCTGGGGGATCTGGGCACCCCGCGGGTGCTGTGACAATCAGAGGAGGTGATGGAGCTGGGGGCCCGTTGTTCCTGATGCAGAGTGGTGTCCACGGGGGCTGCCAAGTAGTTTTCCCCTGGGTCCCGGGTCCCTCCCAGCAGGTGCCGTGCCGGCTCTTTCAGAGCAGGTGGGAGCTTCGTCCTCCCTCAGGACCCCTTGTTGCTCTTTTCTCCCACTGCAGCGTCAGTGTGTTGAATACGCCTTGAAAGCACGCCCCGTGCGGAGATACATCCCCAAAAACCCCTACCAGTACAAGTTCTGGTACGTGGTGAACTCCTCGCCTTTCGAATACATGATGTTTGTCCTCATCATGCTCAACACACTCTGCTTGGCCATGCAGGTAAAGATGGAGGCGCGTGGAGATGGGGATCGTGTCTGGGCCTTCCGCACAGTCGGTGCCCCGGATGTGAGGGTGGGAGGCCAGCCTCTCACCAGAGGATGGGTTTGATTTCTGATGAGTCAGGGCTGTAGTTTGGTCCGAGTCCGGTCTTGGCTAACTGTCATCACGGTGGGAGTTTAAGAGACTGTCTGTACGGCGTGGCCATAGGTGACATTTCCGTGGAGCCCGAGCATTCAATTCTGTAACCTTTACTGGGGCTCCTGGGGCCAGGGAGTGGTTGAGGACTGCCGCTTTGTGTATGTGGAGTTGGACAGATGGCTTCCAATCCTGCCTGGACTCCTCACTGGGGGCAGGGGAGAGGGGGCAACCTTGGGAAAGTTATTTACATCCCGAGGCTGCTTTCTTCATTGCTAAAATGGGAAGGCCATCATGCCTGCCTCGGATACAAAGTTCACGTTGGATAATTTGTGCCGGGCACTTTGCTCTGGGCCTGTCACCCAGTGTTGGAAAACAGCATACAAGTCACATCCTGTCCTCAGGAGCTCTCAGTGTGCGGTGGGGACCCTCCCGTTCATGGAGTAGTGAGTTTGGTCTGCATCACAGCTATTCTCTGCTCACATTGGGGGCGAGGAGTACAACTCACCTCAGTGGGCCACACTGGATTACAGTGTATTAGCTTTTAATATAATTCTATATATTTAATATAAACACTATAATTACTAGACTTACTAGTTAACCTTTCCAGTAGTTTATTGTCTAGTTGCATTAGGACAAGAAGGAAAAACCAAGGTCTAGATTCAGTTTTCACACTGACTTGAAGAGCGTGAGCAAGCCAACTCCCAGAGCTATCTGGAAAATGGGTCTAAAGACAGCCAGTGACAGATTTCCTAATGCTTTCCTTTAATGTGAGAAACCTTTATGCATGAGAAGGACCATGTGCTGATATAAGGGGAAGGGGGAAGTCAAGATAATGCTGCCTTTTATTGAACATGGAACTAAATGGCATAAAATGTATGCCTAAGCAAATCCTACCTTTATTCATGGACATTTGGGTGGGTTCTGCATTGTGCCTGGGTCATGGCGCTGAGTGTGATCTCTGCCAGAAGGAGGGATGGGTTCCTTTTATCCTGAGCAGAGGCAATTGATGTCTTTCCCCTTCAGCATCCAGTCATCCTCACCTTGCCAAGGCCCCTGCACTTTGTGGGGAGGGCTTGTGACCTGACAGTGCCAGTGGGGTCACTGGGAGAGGGTGCCTGTGTCCTCAGAGGGCAGTCGCCTGCCAGGAGGAAGGGCTGGGGGCATCCTTCTGTGAGCCTGGAAGGGGCCTCTGAGAGCTGTTCTTCCGTCTCCATCCACAGCACTATGAGCAGTCCAAGATGTTTAATGACGCCATGGACATCCTGAACATGGTCTTCACTGGGGTGTTCACTGTCGAGATGGTTTTGAAGGTCATTGCGTTTAAGCCTAAGGTGAGTTGCTGAAACTATTTCACAGAGGCTGTTGCTGAATCACCCCAGAGAAGCACCCACTTCCTGTTAGTCTTGTGTCAGTGAATTATGCTGAATTGTTCTGGCTGCTAACTGGGTTATCACCTGCAAACATTAAAATCTGATTAGGGCATCTGTATACATATGGGACAATAAATCTACAAAAACAAAACCTCATCAAAACAATTCTAAGAAGAAGAAGAAGAAGAAGAAGGGAGGAGAGCATTGGGAATTGGTGGGATGGAGGTTGTTTTGAACCTAGTTTCTGTTTCTAGAACGGCATTATCAGGTTGTCTGCGGGAGACTTGCTTCGTTACTGGAGCACTTTCACATCACCCATCAGAAAGAATTCGGCCCTGATTTTACTTTTAGATTTCTAGGAAAAAGACATTGGTTTTTTGTGTTCTTGGTCTACAGCATCTTCTTCACCTTTTATGGAAACTTCTACCCACTGCAGACCTCTCAGAGCCATACCATTTTTTTGTTTATTTAATTTAGAAACTTTTAACTTTAAGACAAAACAAGACATGAAATATGTTAAACTGTGTTGGACAGTTCAGCATATTGTGTCTCCTTTGGGAGGGAGTGGATCCATCTCACATCCGTCAGTGTCTGTAATATAACAGATAGGCAGATAGGACAACATCAAAGAGCACACCCAGGTCTGGAGTCAAATCCCTGCTCTCCACCAGCTCATCGAACAAGTTCCTTAACCGCTAGACGCCTCCGTTTCCTCCGCCATAAAGCGAAGACATGATAGTCCTGTGTCACGGGGTGCTGTGAGGAGTAAAGAATCCCTAGGTGCGCCATGCTTGGGCAAGTGGTACCAGGCTGTAGACGTGTCAGGTGGTCACAGACTGTAGTACTGTGACTGTGACCACCACCACCACCATGTTCCCTTCAACCAACGATGTTCCCTTGTCCTAAAACCGTGGGCAGAGCAGCAATCCTGGCTGAGCTGTATCCTTTTCTAGCAAAGCCCCAAATTGTCAGTCAGAGGACGACAAGCTCAGCGACCCAGTTATGGGTTCATCTGTATGGAAGGTACCTGGCAAGACTAATTTATTCTTGGATTATGAAATGATTTTATGTACTCCCTACTTACACGGAATTCTAATTCAAAACTGTTCCTTTCTTTAATTTGAATTAATTTCTATGCAATCTTTGTCAGCTCTTTGTGGACCCAAAAGAAAGGACACTAGTAAGTGACGAGTGGGGGCGAGTGAAGTGGGGTCAGATTTGGCACCTTATGCATGGCCAGGTGTTCTTTCCTGTGACTTGTCCACACCTCCACATACAAACGTTCCCTCCTTTTCCAAATTCATCTTAATTTCCTTTGGAAATTTTGGTTTGCTTCCCTCTCACCTTCTTTGAATGATACTTGCCTGGACTGATGGAAGTTTGCAAAATAACGACATCAGAAGTCCTTGAGAAATGCAGCACGGATCATATCTATGGAGCATTTCCCAGATCCCCACGCCATGTCTCCCCTCCCCTCACTGGTGATTATGCTCTGAGGTTTCCAAAAGCTTGTTTGTTCTAGGCTGAGAAGGCCCACTTGCCCATGGCATGTGTGTGAGTGTGTATCAGTGTGTGTGTGCTTGTGTCAGTGTATGTGTTTGTGTGAGTGTGAATGTGTGTGATTTGTGTGTGTGTGTGTGTGTGTGTGTGTGTGTGTGTGTGAGCGCATACCTGTAGCAGGCCATTGCATCAATGGCTCGTTGCACACTACTCTGCCCAGTAAACTGCTGATACCAAACCTGGGGTGCGGGGGGAGTTCAGTGGCCTGTTAACAGACTGGAGGTATAAGGGAAAATTTATAATCAGTACTGATCAACCAGAGTTTTCAAATGAGTGATTTCCGCTAGACATTGTGCTGCTTTGTAGTTTTACTTAGTAAGATATTTTCATAGCATAAGACAACCTCAGGTTGCAATTGAGAAAGTTTGTCACAGCGATAGCAGTCTCTCTGTGCTTGGGGGAGCTTTGCCACTGGGTCACTCAAAGTCAGCAGGAGGGGCTTTATGCTGCTTTGTGCCTGGAGAGCAAAGGACAATCAGTTCACCAAGTTGCATGCAAAGTTCTGCCTAGAGCACTCACTGGCTTATCCTCATCTTCTCTTCATTGTTAACATCCAGCCCCCTCGAGTCGGCCTGCTCAGGGACCCTGTGAGAGGCTGCAGGGGGAAGTCTTTGAGGAGATGGCCACATGGACGGAGGAGTGGGAAACCTGGCCCATCAGTCTCATAGGACAGTGTCTCCTGGGAGGAGCTTTGTAACAGGGACTCCGAAGTGAGGGCCACACCTTCTAGGAGAACTTCAGCATCTGTGCCAGGGCAGCCTGGGTCACAGCTGTTTGTCATTCAGATACAGGCAGTGAGCAGAACAAAACCCTTTTTGGTAGACGTAGGAGGAAAGGTTAAAGCAAATCCAGAGACCTGACCCTGGGGACTTCTTTCCTATTCAGACCCTGACAGAGAGATAGGGCCTCCTGAGAGCACAGTTAGAGGGACGTGGTCCCAGGACCACAAGGGGAGGTCACCCAGCCACCACCAGCAGGAAGGGCTGAGGTGGGCAGACAGAGTAGGAAACCCAAAGCTGGGGGCTTCCTGGTGGGGAGGCAGGCTCACGATGGGCAGACTTGAGTTGGCGAGGTAAGAGTGCAAGGCCTGGGGTGGGGCAGGAGCCAGGTGAAGGGGCAATAGGGAGGAAATAGGGGACATCTGTAATACTCTCAACAACAAAAATAAATATTTTACAAAAAGAGTGCAAGGTGGTAAGAAGCCACAGAGCCAAGGATTAGGGCAGCAATTTTCAACCGGTGTTGAAAATTTTTAAAACTTGCAGTACCCGGCTGAACACTGACCCCTTTCCCTTAGATTGTCAATAAAACAATGACAACAGCCAGCACAGCAATAGCGGTCCGGTGTGAATGAATCAAAATTATCCCTATATTTTTATTTTTTGGTGTGCTTCAGAAATTCAATAATTAGTTTATGTGTGCCATGAGATGACAAATGTTAAAAACTGATGGATCAGGACAAAGCAAGCAGTCTGTTTAGTGTGTAGTGTCAGCTTCCAAGGGAAACCCACCTGCCAGGCATTGACCTCATGCACTTCAGGTTGTGCTGTCGACTTGGGGTGGACTTTGGAGTGGACCGTGCAGCCCTAGGGTTTTGAGTGAGCAACAAGCCCCGTGCCCCTGGCCTTGCCCTCCAGTGTTCTCCAGGAAGCCCCTGGAATCCTCTGACGAATTCTCTTGTTCCAAGGAGGGGGATGAAAGGCTTCTTCCAAAGTACTGGCTCCCACAGGTAAAGAGAAGAGGTCATGTTTGAGGCTCCCTCTTTGTGCTTCTAGATGTCACCCACCTGCTGTGTGGTCCAGTACGTGTTCCAGCCAGGTTGCTGGCCATGGTCATGGACTTATCCCCAGAGAGCCACACGTTGTTCTCAAGACTTAGGCGATCAAGTATTTTCATCTTGCTTCTGCCTCACAAAGGGCTAATTTATGTGCCTAGCCACTTGGGCTTGGCAAGAGTAAAGAGTAGTTAGGAAAGAAGTGAGTTTTAGTGCTGTCCACATGCTTCCGTGCAGAGCTAACGCACAGCAGACACCGGGCATCTGGTCCCATTCTGGGAGGCAGTCCCCACCCCAGGATCCCTACCCCAGGGTCCCTGCCTTAGGGTCCCCGCCCCAGAGTCCCAGCAGGCGTGGGGCTCATTAAGAAAACCTTAGCAATCTTCCTAGCAGACGTTCTCCACTTCCTGGGACGTTCTCCACTCACTTGGTAAAATGTGGACCTGCCTAGGCCATCACTTGACCTTTGCAAAGGCTTATGCTAGTTAGAAAGCTGCCAGCTACAGCTTCTATAAAAAGTTGGCACTATGGGTCATACCTTGAGTCCAGTGACCCCCATAACATCCCAATCTCTCCTGCCTCCTTTCCGAGTTACCCTGACTGCTATGCCATCTCCCTGCCTCTGGCCTCAGCCCCTCGCTGTTCGTCTTCCACAGACTCCCATTGTGAACCCTAAGCTGACTGTGCCCTCTTCCAGTGAAATTCTGGCACTGGCCACCTATTACATGAGAAACATAGTTTTCTTAGTCTCATGTCAAAGTCTCCACTAAACCTTGGCCCATTTACGTTCCTGCCTCATTTCCAGCCACTCTCTTCCTGTCATTCCTTCTCCACACCCACCCCTAGCTGTTTACATGCTAGACTTTTCCATGGCACATGCTTCTGCCTATTATCCTTTAGCCTGTCTGAATTGTTGGCTCCTCTGTGACACTGTCCCTACCAACCCAGCCCGAGCCAGCCCCTTCCCACGCATTGTGTGGTTAGATGCCTGTGGTGCGTTAGCATCATCACTGCTACTCCATGCCTCTCTCTCCACTAGCGATGCCACAGGCTGGGTCTTCTCTGTCTCCCACGATGCCTGCTGCAGGCTGGTTACTCAATAAGGACTAGGGATTGTAGACAGGAATAAATGGATGAGCCTGTAGGGATACCCTCTTGGCATAAGGGCACCTGGTTTTCTATCACAGGATATTTGGGCAGAGTAGAGGTGGGCAAAAGTGAGTATGTTGCCCTGTAAACCCTCACTTGACCTTTGCAAAGGCTTATGCTAGTTAGAAAGCTGCCAGCTGCAGCTTCTATGAAAAGTTGGCACTATGGGTCATACCTTGAGTCCAATCCTGCCCTGGCAGAAACTGGTAAATGACCTGGCTGCCATGGTCAACCACAGGAGCAGGTCCTTTGTAAAAGGCTTCTTGAGATCTGCAGATGAGAGAGAGACTCTGGGCAGCAAACAGACCCTGGGCTTGGGCTCCTGTTTCCCATATGCAGCCATTCCACAGGCTTCCTCCCCCATGGTGCCAAGTCTGTGCTACCTCCTGGCTTCAGACCAGACATCAACAGGCAACCAGGATAGAATTCATGGACGTAACGGAGTTGCCTGGCCTCAGTCTGGTTTCTGATTTTAAGTGTCTGGAGTCAGAATTGTTTTGGGTCATAGATGTTATTGCAAGTGGCTGATTTGCTGGATCTTTTCAAGCAGGTGACGCTGGACAAAAGTAATCTAAGGGCTGACTATGGCTGGGCTGTAGGGGCTGCTGGTTCCACTTGAGGGCCCCGGCCTCAGAATTCAGCTGTAGGAGATGTGTTGTGTGTCAGTGGCCAAGGGAGATGGAGAGGGCCCTCTGTTGGAAGCCAATGTCTCATTTTCGGGTTATACCAGACTTTAGTGGGAAAGCAATGGGGGACTGAGTCATGCTCACTTGACAGTGATTTTTAGTACAAAGCCGGCTACTAAACCGGGAAACAGGATGTGGGAAGAAAGGCAGGCTGGCATTTCCCGCCTCCCCGGGACCTAGCAGAGCCACCTGGTCGGGGCCGGAGCCTTTGCTTCCTGCCACCTGTCCCAACTCAAGCCTCCTGTCGCCTGGGTTAGGGGTGTAGCCTCTAGGGTTCTGTGAGTGTGAGGGATCCTCTGGAGAGAGAGTTGAAGGGATTTCCCAAAAGTTCCAGGAGCTCCAATGCCAGGCCCCTATCCTGTCAATTGAAAGTGATTTTATGTAGCATCATGGCTTCAGGGGCCCCATTGGACAATAGTTTGTTCCCAGTTGATCGGAATGATCCCAAGGTGAATACTGATAATTCTGGACAGCGAGAGAGGAGCTGTTCAGGAGTAAAGTCCAAAGTTAGGCCACAGGGCTGGCACCCAGCACAGTAGTGGGCGTGGCCTCAGGTAAATGACGGGCTGTAACGGTGGAGCTGAGCGCGTGGGCAGTGAGCTGCGGGCTGCCTGTGTGCCAGGATGGACAGGAGGAGGGATGCTTGGCTTCTGCTCTGTGTGGACGCCAGAGGCCCAGCAGTTACTGGAGACCGTGGATGATTCTGAGGCACCCATCCCTCTAGAGGGGAGGGAAGGCCCACCACACTCTGGCTTTTGAGTTGCTAAGTCCCAAAGGAAAGGGCAGGCCCTGCCCCCCAGCGGTCTGCCACGGCCGCTCCTCACTCACTGTTACCCATCGCAACAGTGCACATCGTTTCAAAGAGAACTTGTACTCTTCGGCCCTGGGATGCCCACAGCCTCACTCATGTGCCCTCTGATGCTGCCGGTCCGGAGACTTCCTCGCTGAAGTAGGCAGGGAGTTCCTCTGTGTCCTGGCGTAGCTCTTTATCTCATCCCCGACCAGCAGGGCTGCATGTTAGCAGCACTAGCCTAGTCCTCAGAGAGGCCCGTCTTTTCTCGGTTTTGCCGGCCAAGAATCACACGCTGTGAGAAGAAAACTAGAAGGCGTAGGATGTGGGGTCTCTCTCTCTCTCTCTCTCTCTCTCTCTCTCTCTCTCTTTCTCTTTCTCTTTCTCTTTATAGGGGTCCTCCACAATTTCGTAAGATGTGGTTAATGAGAGAGGCGGTACATGTGTGGACCTAGGAGTATACAGGAAATTGTTGTACCATCCTCTCAATTATTTTTTTTTCAATTGGTATTTCTTAAGTAGACCTTCCCATTAGACTTGATCCACAGGCCATCAGAGTTGTGCAGGTGAAGTCCTGTTGTTGACTTGCTACAGGACTGAGATGGGGCTGGGAGGTGGCTGTCGATGAGGGTAGCACATGGCTGAGGCATTGTGATTGTAAGAGGGGAGGAGAGAGGTAGAGATGGGTCAGAAGTCATGGCAGTTGGGTGGGAAAATCTTACTCTATTTAAGATGAAATTTTGTAAAAACCCAAATCAGTCAGTGTCATAGCTCCCCCATGCCTGCCCTGGAGTGATGGACAGAAACCAAAATAAAGGTGCCTTCTCCCGCTGTTAGGACAGCCAACATGCCCAACACGTTTTCTGTGGCGTCATAGGGGTGGGGAAGAACCTGGTGGTAGTTTTGACGGATGGAAAGGCGTCCTCTTAGCCTGGAGGATGAGGGAGGGAAGGAGTGAGGGAGGGAGGGAGGGAGGGAGGGAGGGAGCAAGAGCTGGGTGCAAGGAGGAGCTGCTGGCGACTTGGGGGCTTCCCTTGGTGCAGTGGGAGCCCTTGAGCACCTTCATCATCCGTCAGTGCTCTTTTCCTCCACAAACAGCCTGGCTTCCCCAGAGTGAGCTTCTCTGCCACGACTCGGTGCCTCAGACCTGTGTGCACCCTGGTGCCCGCCTCCCTGCCAGCCATTTTCCGTGTCTGTCCCTGCTAGACCGAGAGCGCTGAGAGACAGGGATTGTCTCAGGCACACCCTTTGTAATTCTTGTTGGCTGGCGAGGAAAGGGAAGGGCTACTGGTTTGTTTTAAGGGCACAGAAATGAGAGAGTGTGGAATGTGCTGACAGTGTTCTTTAAGTGGAGGAGAAGGGGTGGGTGACTGCGTGGGTCCCTGTGGAAGGAGTCGGAGGGGCTTGCTCTTCCATCAGCATATGAAGGTTTGGGCCTGTCACCCTGGGTGTCAGGGCAGAGTTGCCAAATGCCTCCCTGTGTCCTGCAGATATTCTGCTCGGGTTATGCTGCTCAGGACCATGGGTCTGCATTGTGTGTGTGTGCGTGCATGTGTGTGTGTGTGTGTGCGTGCATGTGTGTACGTGCGTGCGTGCATGTGTACATGTGTCTATGCGTATGGGCAGCCTCTCTCACACATGGAGGTGCACACCATCCACTGTGTCCCTTTCCACTGGGCAGTAGTATTGCCTCCCTTTGGCTTCCCACCCTGGTTGCCAAGGGTGCTGCGGGGCCTTGGATGTGTGCCCATATGGTCCATGTGGCGTTTCATTCATACATGCTCATAAATGTCTGCCCCCTGCCTGCTCTGTCCAGGGGTATTTTAGTGACGCCTGGAATACGTTTGACTCCCTCATCGTAATCGGCAGCATTATAGACGTGGCCCTCAGCGAAGCTGACGTGAGTATGCGCCCGCCCGCGGCCGCCCGCCTCTTGCCCTTCTTCTGTGTACATCCCGCTCCCTGCCCGCACTGGCATCCCCTGGACAAGTCACAGACCCCAGCCTCACTTCACCTAAAACCAGGAGTTTCCCAGTAGGAGCTGCAGAAAAGAGGCTTTCCAAGGCAGAGCCCCAGCCTGGGCCTTTTTAGACACAGACCACCTTGTGGAGGACGGACTGTTTTGCAGCGTTACCCAGGGCACCGGTAGGCAGGGCAGGCGAGGCGTCTCTGACTGTGCTTGTTTTCTGTATCAGCAGTGATCTCCAAGGTGATGTATCTATAACATGTTTGTTTCAGGGCAGTTCTTCAGGTAGCCGGGTGGCATAACGCTAGAATGTTCCCTGTTGATAACACTGTCCTTTTCTTCTTTTCTCCTGTGTGCTTCCTCTCCTCTGTGGCTGAATGCTTGCCCTAACAGCACTATTTCACTGATGCATGGAACACTTTTGATGCCTTAATTGTTGTTGGTAGCGTCGTTGATATTGCTATAACTGAAGTGAATGTAAGTAGCAAACTTTGTGTCCTACAACGTCATTGTTTTCTCGTTAAGTCTGACATAGAGGAGACCAGAAACGAACCCCCTCGCCCGCCCCCCATCCCCCACCCCAGGGTTCTCTGTATGTTTTAGAAATTCAGGCACACATTTCTCTTGAAAGATTAAGACCAATTTTGGTCTCCCCACCCTCACCCCACTCGCTTCCCCTGAAAGAGACTGGGAAAATAAATGTAGAATGACTGTTTTGGAGCTAAAACACTTTAATAGAATATCTCGTTACAATGTTAAGGGCTAGGAGTTATGTGAGTGCGCACATCAGCACGTCACCTGCCTGCTTTGTGCCTCAGTTTCTCCAGCTATAAAATGGAGTTCATAGTGTGTGCCCCGGTACCCACAGTGGTTCTGCGAAGGCACGGGAGGGAAATCCCACAGCTGTGCCCTGAGCATGTGGCCGTTGCTGCTGGTGTCCTCACCTGTTCTGTCCTGTGTCTGCTGAGTCCAACTGGTGGCACTGGGGCACGTCCCCATCCCAGCTCCCAAAATAGTGATGCACCTAGACAGCTGCCCAGGACTAGGGGAAGGAGGCCTAGTGTGCATCCGGGTGGGGGGAGTCAGTACTCCTTTGCTGCCCTCAGTTAATCTTTTGATGAGGGGCTAAGCAGCACGGTAGCTGCAGTGGCCCTCCCTCCAAGAAGCAACCCAAGAACCCTCCTCCAAAATGAAGAGGCTTGAGAAAGGGGAGCCCCACCTCCTGCCGGCTCCTCTCGGGTCTGACCCTGGGTGAGACCGATGGGCCTGAGGCAGGCAGAAATGGCCGTGCCCACCTGGCCTGTCCCAGGTCATCCGCAGTCTTCGTGGGTGTCCAGTGTGTGTGCCAGGTTGTGTCGAGTCCTTTGCGGGGACCGCTGTGCAGTGCTGGCTTCCTGCTCCACATCCCCAGCCTCGCCACTCCCCACCCTCGGCTGCCACACTCTGCCTGGCTGACATCAGCAGGATCGCACGGTCCATCCTGGTGCCCAGACAGCCTGTGTCAAATAAGGACAATGAGAACCCTTTCTGCCACCTGTTTGGGGCTGGGCTGATTCTGGAGAGCAGAACAGTGAGACATGCAGTCCCAAGGCCTGGTGGTTCTAGTCCTGGTTCAAACGACCTGTTGCATCTGGTCCTTGCTTCTTTCTTGGGTCACCTGGAGTGAATGAAACCTGTTCTCCCTGCTTCGTAGGTATGTTGTGACAAAACAATATGACTATTTGTGAAAATACTTGCTAAAAAGCGCAAAGTGGTAGGGAGATTTCCCATGCAGTAATGAATGAAATGGACTAAGACATTGGCATGTGCATGAATGTGTGACTTAAGCCTCATAACACCCAAATCCATGCCATGACAAGGCACAAAGTGGCATTTTACATCCCCTAACCTCCGTAAGCCCAGACTCAGGAAGATTTCACTTCATGTGAGATGTTCCATATGTCAGCTATAGAATTGCCGTTCATAATGTATAAGTTAGTCTTGGCCATACAGTCATCTGATGCTAATGGGAGAACAGCAGGACCCTAACTGGGCTGCCGCTGGGCTCTCTCCGAGTTGATGAGCAGACATCTGCCTGCTTCGTCATCTTGTAAAAGGCGCTTATAACTTACATCACCGTGTACTGCATGGAAATTCTGAAGCAGACGCTGTGGAAGTCAGAGGTGGTCTGTAATGGAAGCGAAAATGTAATAAACTACACTTTCAGTAGGTCTCCCTAGAGCGCTTGGGGCTGCAAGCCTCGTGCCGGGGTTGGGTGTAAAGGCTTAGTTTCTGGGCACCAGGATGTGGCCAAGGCTTGTTTACTGGGTGAACAAGCCAGCTCTCCAATGCCGGACCCACCTGCTGGCTGGCGGGGTGTGGCACCGGTTCATGCACCAGACAGCACCTGCCCGGCTGCCTGGCTGCCTCTCCCTGTGCCGGGCGCAGGAGCCCACTGCTTCTGTCCCCGCTGGCCCAGCCTCGCTCATCAGTGTCTCAGTGTTGTCCTCCTTCATGAATGTCATTAGCCAGGTCTACAGAAGCCCACACTAAGTTTTTAGTTAGCATTTGATACCAGGGTACCTATACAGAACAGGCTGGCATTGGGCCCGTTCCTGGCATTCATTGAGACTTTCAGGATCACACAGGTAATCGTTGCCATACTGTCCTTTCAGTCAGTGACTTTTTCCCAGCCAGGCGTGGGTTGAGGCCGAACCTTCCTCAGTGGGTGGCTATGCCAGCTCTCTGCCGTGGGCCAGTGGAGTGCCACCATGGGAGCTCTCAGCATTTCTGTGTGAGGCCTCAGTGCAGAACGGATGCTCCAGCCACCTTCTCATTTATTCAGTCTTTCAACACATGTTTATTGCACATCTAAAATTCTCAGACCATAGGTGAAGCTTTGGGAAGGCACAGAGATAAACGAGACCGGGTGTCCTTGACCTTTGACGGTATAGCCAGCTCAGCGGGGCTTCTGACTCCTATACCCCCTCACCCGCATCTGCCACGTCCTCCAGAGTAGCAGCACCTAGTGTGTCTCTTAGTGGCCTGTCCCCAGAGCTCCTGGGTCAGCTGAGCATGAACGCTCTTGGTTCATTGTTGGCTGTTTTTAGCTGCCATACGTCATCATTATTTGCAATATTAACTTGCTGTGCTCTCTCCCCCAACCTCCATTGATCTTTATTTTCTGTTGCCTAATTGATTTTCATGTTGGTTTTATTTTTAGAAAATTGTAGCGGCAAGTATATATATATATATATACATATATACGGTGAAGTCATTAAAGCAAGCGCACTTTAAGACTGTATACTTGTTTTTGGCTTCCCCACCTTTGGTTTTCGCTGAGTTTCACAGGACATGCTGTTGGTCATGGTCATCTAAATTGTTTCCCGCTCACCTTTTATTGTCTCCAGCCTGGGCCTGAGCCGAGGCCGTCGTGGTCAGTCGTGCTTGGCCCTGGGGCTTGCCAGCAAAATCTTCAGGAATGAATGATCCGACCTGGAAATGAGAAACCGAGCTTGCGTTGTATTCTTTGCAGAAACATTTTGGATGGCCCTTTCCGTTGTCCTGCCTGCATGCTCACCCAGCCCTCTCCCTCCTGTCGCCCTCCCGTGGCCCCGGCCTGCTCTGTCATAGTTTCATCTCTCTCATGGACTCGTCTCCATCACTTTCATCGCCACATCACCAAGCTGCTAAAATGTCAGACGATGCCTGGCAGGCTCACTTTTGCTCCCTCTCAGATGCCCGTTTGCTCTTTGGTGAAATGCATCCTGTTCTCCCTAACCTGAGAATGGCTGCTTTGCCATTACCATCGTTGCTGGGGGGCAACGTACTTATGTAGAACCCACCTCTGCCTTTTTATTACCTACAGAAGAGCATGTCAAAGGTCAGTAGGGAACCCACTTCCAGGGACCCTAGAATTGTCCCTGGCTTGTCAGGGACCCAGTTCGGACTAGGTGTCCAATAGCTGCAGTCAACTTCTTGTTCTGAACCCACAGTCAGGTTGTCCAACCCCCCGGGATTCCATATGCTCACCCTTTTCTGGGGACCAGGTTGCTGGTTTCTGGACACAGACTCAGCAAGTCCTTCCTCCCGGAGGTGTTACAGGCCAGGTCAGAAGTCATCAGAGGGAGGGCCCCCCCACAAAGACTGGGTTCTCCAGGGCACCTCAGGTTAACTGGTTCTGGGATGTTGGTTTGCTTCCTGTCTGAATTGAAAAATTGCATCCTTTCGGCTTTTCCAGCAAAAGGCGGGAATTAATTCAGAAAGTGCAGACTGATCCCTTTGGTTGCACTTGTTGGGGGCTGACTCTGAGCCTGCATCTCAAGGGCCTGCCTGGGAGCCCTGTCGGAAGGGGCTGGTGAACACCAGGAGAGCCCCAGGGGCCTCGGGAGCTTCCTGACCCAGCATATCGTTTGGCCTCCCGAGGCTGCGGATCATCTCTCTGGAGGGGTCCCAGGCTTGGAAGGAGCCCCTGAGGCCATCTAGTCCCAGCCCCGAGATGACTGGAATCCCCTCTGTTGGAGACTGATCGCCCAGCCTCTAACAGCTGCCTGGGGAGCAAGTCCTTGCCCCGCCTGGGGTATCCAGTGGTTGACCTCAGGGCCCAGCAGTGTCCTCCTCCACTCCTTGTGAGGAAGATCGGATGGAGTCTAATCTGTGCATACAAGTACTGAACCCCCTCAACCTCCAAAGAACCCATAGTCGGCTCTAACAGCCCCGGTGAGCTTTTCTAGGGCTCCCACTCTGCAGGGCCGATCCGTACCTACAGGGAGAGATAGCGGGTGTGGGCGGTCCGCTGGAGATGTGGCCCAGCTTTCCCCTGGTCAGGACTGCAGTTCCTGGCTCTGGCAACACGTTAGTTAGAATCACCTGGAAGCCCAGAGCTTAGGCACCCCTCCCCCCATCAATGAAATAAGAATCTTTGGGGCAGGACTTAGCCATCAGATTTCGTCAGTGATCCCTGGGCAGTCTCATGTGCCGCCCGGGGTAAGAGCTGGCCTGCCCTTTCTGCAGGCTGGCATTTGCAGTGTGAGCAAAGCCATCCTCAGGGTCCTTCCAAGGTGTAAGATATTTTAGCAGCTTGCACTGTCCCGCGTGCTGCCAGCGACACCTCCCCCGAGCAGCCTCCGGCCCAGTGCGGCCGCTCGGGCGCACGCTGCTTGATGTGCTGTTTGTTCTTGCCTTCCTCCCGTGCATGTTGTGCTGCCTTGTCCCTCCACAAATGCTGTCTCCTCCTCCTCTTTGCTTTTTTTTTTTTTAAACAAAAGAATATCCATGGTGTTAAGTCCATAGCCCAAGATTTGTCAACTTCAAAGACATCGATTGAAAGAGAGATGGGCACTTGGAAAGTCAGGGTGGCTGCTGACTTACCCATGTCAGAAGGAAGGGGGCGGTACAAGGTCTGTCGGACTCGGAGCAGGACAGAAGCAGCAGCAGAAGGGGCCTGGCCAGAACAGGTGGCCAGGAAGTGTGTCTTCCCCACCCACAAGCCCAGCTCACAGGCTGTGTATAGACATTTCAAATATATGCTGCAGAGGGCTCTGTCTTATGCCCGCTCAGGTCCCCTTGGCATAGGCGTCAGAGGTGTGCACAGGCATACACACTCACACACACACACACACACACAGACACACTCACACTCACACTCTCACAGCCTCACACTCCAGCTGCATGGCTGACCGAAAGCCTTCCTGCACACATTGGGAGACACCGAGAGCTCAGCAGAACTAATTCCTTCATTTGTTAAAGTCTTAAGTTGAATACCACCATCTGTCCCTTTCAGGAGATGTCAGTTGTTTGAGGTGACATGATAGAAGAGGAGAATAAAAACGGTGACCTGGGGCTTGGACAGACCCACTGCAGAGTTCACGTCCTAAGCACCCCAGGTGGCCCAGGAGCCCCTTTGTACAGTATCAGGCCTGTTAGTCCTGGGTGCGCAATCACGTTGCTGAATTTCAGTTGTGATGGGATGTGCCCAGATTTTTCCAGGAGTTTTGTGGAATTTTATTTTTGGTCTTAAGAGGCAGCTGTTGATAAGAGTGAGGCTTCAGAATGGAGCCGTGATGGTCCCTGTATCCCTGGGGAGGAGGACCCATCAGATCAGAGTGCGTGTCCATGGCGCACACAGCCCTTAGCTGCACCGAGGCACCGTGCGTACAGAAAGGCTACCTAGCAGCCGAAGTGCACGCAGCAGTGCTGGGCCCCAACCAGAAGGGTCTCCTTGCCTTGGGGGTCACCTGGTAGACCAGCTGCTTCAGCAGAGGTGCCACTCCCGCAGGGAAGCAAAAGACCCTCATTCCCCGGTTCTTGTTCGGCCCTCCCTGTTTAATGTAAAGATGCCTCCTGATATTTGCTACAGTTTTCTTACATCCTCATTGCGTTTTCTGAAGCACTTATCGAGCATTGAATAAGTGCCAGATCCCATGCTGGGCACTGAGTGGAGTGAGGCAAGGTCCTTGCCCTCTGGGGGCTCCCAGCCTGAGGGGGAGGCAGTGATACAGGGCGGTGAGTGCTGTGATTCTGCACCCGGGGGCCCCAGCTCCAGGCGCCCCGCCAGACCTCTGCTGGGGCAGAGCTACCGAAGCTCAGGGCAGGCTGGTCCTGAGCTGTTGCTCTCCAGTAGTCACACAGAGCTGAGCTTTGTCTCCCTTATCAGCAGTCTGAGCTGCCAGTGGGCAGTGAAGGGAAAATAGATCTCCTGCCCCCACTGGCTCAGTCTGTCCAGCTCCCCAGCAGCCTTGCCAGAGATGGCATCATGGGACACACGCTGCCCAGGCGTGTGGCCCCAGGATCAGAGTGTGGTCCAGGGCGCCTGTGGGCCACAGGCAGCTGCCACTCCATTCGCCCTGTTTGGTAGAGTCATTCTGTTCCTCAGAGTTTGGTTGGCCCACTGCAAAGCAGTGAGTTCTGAGACCCACAGCTCAGATGCAGCGAAGAGAGCCAGGCTCCCCAGAAGACACACAGAGAGCCCCGCTCTGCATTCTGACAGAGGGACAGCTGAGGTCTTGCAGCATTATCGTTCCTGGGTGCCTGTCAGCCCTAGAACCTCACATCCTGGAGGTGACTTAGAAAGGAGTGTGAGCCTGGGTCCATGGCTGCCCGCCCTCAAATCCAGTTCCAAGCAGAGTCCCTGGCATTTTCTCAGGGAGGGAGCAGGTGTGTCGTCCTAAGACATTAGCCACACATTTTTTAAAGGGGGGAGGGGATGTCCTCCCGGACCACTGCTTCCTTCCCAGTTCATTAATTCCTGTTCAATCTTTGATTTCTTAAAGCCAACTGAGAGTGAAAATATCCCTGTCCCAACTGCTCCGCCCGGGGTAAGACCAGCGACCAGTGCCCAGGGGCTGGGCCTTTCCCTCGAGTTATTTGGCCATGTCGAGTTTCCCCAGTGTTTCTGTATTCTCCATGATTGTTCTTCCAGAACAGTGTCTGCAGTGGTTTGCATTCATCATCAGTGTCCAGTACTCTTGACCAGCCCAGCATTCACCTCTTAACACACTAGACCACGTGGACATGCATGTGCTGTGTGGACGCAGTTTTCCACGCCCTGTGTTGTTAGCATGTAACTTCTCCTTTCATATCATGCCTTTCAAGGTGAAAAGGCCCTAGAAACACATCTTCAATTCTTACTTCTGTCACCTGTGTTTGCATCTGTTGCTGTTTTTCTGAAAAGTGTTGCATGTTCTACTTTCCATTGGGTTTGACCTCTCCATGATAACCCTTCAGAACTCTGAAGAGAGCAATAGAATCTCCATCACCTTTTTCCGTCTTTTCCGAGTGATGCGATTGGTGAAGCTTCTCAGCAGGGGGGAAGGCATCCGGACGCTGCTGTGGACCTTCATTAAGTCCTTTCAGGTAAGAGCCGGGCCACGGGCTTCTCTTTGTCTCTGAAGACCCTATGCAAGTCAGTGATTGTCCCCCATCATGGCAGATCCAGACTCTCTTCTGCATGACCACGGACCACCTAGGTCACGTGACTGCCCGGGTCACATGACCACCTAGGTCAATAGAGAATATGGAATGCTGGAGGGACCCGACCCTTTGTTACTTGGGTAAATGAAATAGGATTACCTCCTTAAAGGAAGCAGAAAAGAAAGCAGTAAGGACCTGCACCTGAGAGTTCTGCACCATTTCCAATTCTGAGAGATGTGGAGCCTCTGAGTACTCAGTCTGGTCCTCCCCGGAAGCCCAGTGGTAAATGGTGATGTCAGAGAGCATGCTGGGTCCCAGAAGACCCCAGAAGCCTCACAGCCTCTTGCTAGGGTGGCTTCTCCTCATATGGCTGCAATGGTCCTGTCAGCTGGTCTAGATACGAATCAGGGACCACTTCACCGGGGCCAGCGCATCTCACCAGTGTCTTATCCAGTGCCTGGAAGGGTAACGGAGTTGAGGACACTTAGGCATAGCCAGGTCTCATTGTCATTTGTGATTCTTCAGGCTGGTCAGCCCAGTTCTAGTCTATTCCTGGACAGAACCTGGCTTCTCCCGTGCCTTCCAGCACCCCACCCGGTACTCGAGTCCTCTGGACTGAGAGCGGTATAGATTCTTGTTAGAAAGGTACACCCATGTAGGGAATTTGTAGATAGGCACAAGCATTAGAGAATGAATCTTATATCTTATTTTATTATTATTACTAGGGGCCCGGTGCACGAAATTCGTGCACTGGGTGTGTGTGTGGGGGAGTGTCCCTCAGCCCAGCCTGCCCCCTCTAACATACTGGGAGCCCTCAGGCATTGACCCCCATCACCCTCCAATCGCAGGGTCGGCCCCTTGCCCAGGCCTGACGCCTCTAACAGAGGCATCAGGCCTGGGCAGGGGACCCTCATTTCCCCCCATCACTGGTTCTGCCCCCAGCCCAGGCCTGATGCCTCTGGCCCAGGCATCAGGCCTGGGCAGGGGACCCCCAGACCCCTCCGATTGCTGGCTCTGCCCCTTGCCCAGGCCTGATGCCTTGGCCAGATGCGTAGACCCCCATCACCCTCCGATTGCCTGATCAGCCCCTTGCCCAGGCCTGATGTCTCCGCCAGAGGTGTCAGGCTTGGACAGGGGACCCCCATCTCCCCCCAATCACTGGCTCTGACCGCCGCCCAGGCCTGAGGCCTCTGGCCCAGGAATCATGCCTGGACAGGGGACCCCCATCTCCCTCTGATCGCTTGCTCCACCCCCCACCCAAGCCTGATGCCTCTGACCCAGGCTTCAGGCCTGGGCAAGGGGACCATCATATCCCCCCAATCCCCGGCTCCACCCCCCACCCAGGCCTGATGCCTCTGGCCCAGGCATCAGGCCTGGGCAGGGGACCCCCATCCCCCCGCCCAGGCCTGATGCCTCGGCCAGAGGAGTTGACCCTCATCACCCTCCGATCACTAATCACCAGATTGGCCCCTTGACCAGGCCTGAGGCCTCCGGCAGAAGTGTCAGACCTGGGCAGGGGATCCCCAGCTCCCCGCGGTTGCAGGCTCTGCCCCTGCCCAGCTCCCCGCGATCTCCCGCTCTGCCCCTGCCCAGGCCTAACACCTCTGGCCAAGGCATTAGGCCTGGGCAGGGGACCCCCAGCTCCCCGCGGTTGCAGGCTCCGCCCCTGCCCAGGCCTAACGCCTCTGGCCGAGGTGTCCGGCCCGGGCAGCGGGGACCCACAGTGGCAGCGGGGGGTGCCGTGATTGCGCGGGCTCCGCCCTTGCCCCTGCAGGATGCCTCTGGCAGCGGCCCCGCGATCGTGGGCTCCGCTTTAGGCCCAGGCAAGGGACCCCTAGCTCCCGGGACTGCCAGCTTCGACCGTGCCCAGCTCCCATCGCTGGCTCCACCCCTACTTCCTGCTATCACTGGCCAGGGCGGCAAAGGCGCCTGATTCTCCAATCATGGCTGGGGGGCATTTCCCCCAGCTCTTAGCTCCCCCCTTGGTTTCCGATCACTGTCAGTGGCAGCGGGCTTCTTCCTGCTTTCCCTTTCGCCTCTCTGCATTGTGCCTACATATGCAAATTAGCCGCCATATTTGTTGGCAGTTAATTTGCATATAGCCCTGATTAGCCAATGAAAAGGGTAGCGCCATACGCCAATTACCATTTTTCTCTTTTATTAGTGTAGATTATTATTATTATTATTATTATTATTATTATTATTTGACTATTTTAGTTCAAAGGTAATAAATGCTCACATTAACAAGGGAAGCGATCCAAAGATATATAAAGAAAAAGTTCACACTGACCCCGCCCCCCCCCACCTCTGAGGTGACCAGCATTGACTTCCCAGAAAGCGTTTTCCCACAGAGGGTAGGATGTGAACACATAAAGAGGAGAAGGGAGTAGATCCAGGACCTCAAAGGAGGAAAATCACAAGTCCTGGTGGGGAAATGGAGGAGGAGCCAGAATGCAGCTCTGAGACAGGAAGGCGGAGCAGGGCCTGAGGTGGGTGAGCCTGCATCTTGGTAAGGGCTGAAACCCTAGACCAGTGGCTCTCAGCCTTCCTAATGCCGCGCCCCTTTAATACAGTTCCTCATGTGGTGACCCCCAATTTCATTGTTACAAATTGAACATAATTAAAGCATAGTGGTTAATCACAAAAACAATATGTAATTATATATGTGTTTTCCGATGGTCTTAGGCGATCCCTGTGAAAGAGTCATTCTACCCCCAAAGGGGTCGCGACCCACAGGTTGAGAACCGCTGCCCTAGACAGTTGTTATTAATATGGAGTGGAGAAAGCATCAGTTTGTGAACTGCTCTAAAAACACAATGAATTCACGTAATAATGTCATTCTTACTTTTAAAGAAATTGCTAAACTTTTTTAACAGATAAATTCATGTCATGGAGTAATAGTTCATAAAACCTGAGAAACGGTGCCAACAGAATTCTTAAATACTCCATAAACTAGGAAGAAAATGCATGTAGGTATAGGAAAGCCTGACACTCAGTGAACCGGTCCAGCCAGTGTTACGTCAACAGTAACACCGCCAGGATGGTGTTACTGCCCCGAGCCGGTCACAGGTGCAGAGATGGCCCACGTCGGGAAGTGTCACAGCCACCGGCCTTTAGCGGACAGGAGAGGACATCGATGCTTTAAACGTGTGCCTGGCATTAGGGCTAACAATCTGGGCATTCCCTGGAGGTGTGCCAGACACATGGACATCTGTCATGTGGGATGAGATAAAACAGCAGTTGGAGAACACTGGGTCAGAGGGCCAGGGTTCTGACCTGACGCACAGGCTCGTATCTGATGTTCCTAAGGAGAACCCAGGCTTGACGACCACCCAGGTAGCTCCTTTTTCCCTGGCCCAACCCCCAACTCGGTTCTTTCGGAAAAGTGTGCATTTTAAGAAAAGTGTGCGTCTTTGTTTTCTACAGTGACGGCCAGAAAGTGGTTCTTTCCCTCTGGCCCAATAATTCCACTCCTAAGACTTCTCCTTAAGGGAGCACTTCAGCAGACGGCCAGGTGATGTTGCAAAGTGCTAGTCCTTGGCAAGGTGAACTACAGGAGCCCCTCGCTCCCATGCACACAGGCCCACACAAGCAAGTGGGAGCCATCTGAATGTCTGAGCTGGAATGGTTTGATCAATTGTAGAGTTTTCACAAAGGAATCAGTGATGAATGTAAGCATTATTATGAGAGTGGAGTGTCAGTGGTGACACTGCCTAGGGTTAGGATCCACTGTTCACGACTGTGGGAAGCTGTCCTGCCTGCAGCTCTGTGACACTAGGTGTGCACATGGCTGGCATCTTCAGGACTGAAGTCATGGTGCTGGGCTAGGGTTTAAAAAGTCCATTCTCTCTGTGATGCTCTTTCCATATAACATGAAAGAGAAAAGCATGTGGGCCCGTGTGGGTCTTCAGTCTGTACCGAACAGCACGGGACTAGAGGCCAGCGCTGAGCCAGGTGCTTCCTCTCTTCCAGGCGCTCCCGTATGTCGCCCTCCTCATAGCCATGCTGTTCTTCATCTACGCGGTCATCGGCATGCAGGTGAGCTCAGGGCCCCGTTCGCTCGGTAGTCCCAGATCTGGGGCAAGATGCACCTTCACCAGGTGAAATGGAAAAGCAACACGACTGCTGCTTAAGAGAAAGATGTGGCTCTAAAGGAAGGAGCCTGTGACAGAGAGAGCCAGGCTCAGAAGAGCAAGGAGGGGTTGGACTAAGCCAAGAAAAGCTGGGTTTGGTGGTTCCCCTCACCTCCACTCTGAGTCTTGGGAGAGTCAACTGATCAAGAAAATCCATAGTTGATTTTAGCAACAGGAAATGCCAGACTCAGAGAAGCCAAGATTATCCTATTTTCTGCATCTGACCTGGGACCACTGTCTTGCCTCAGTAGCACCTTGAGGAGAAGCATGAGACCCAGTCTTCTGTGACCCGGCTGGGGGGCTACAGGCTACTGGCCAACTCCTCCCTGGGTGGGGAACAGGACGGGGGCTTTGTCAACAGCAGCCCTGACCCGAAGCTGCAGTGGGCAGAGCCTCCAGGAGGAGGGGGAGATGGGGAGCCTCCCGTGGAGCTGAACCTTGCTGGGTGGTGTCTGCCACATACTCTGTGGGTTCGGTAGATACCCTCTTCCAGATAAGGGAGGGGTGCGAGTGTAAAGAGGTGGTGTGATTCCAGAGGAGAGAAGGGGTCATGCTTATTCTATTCCGAAGGCAGAGAAGAATTCACAAGTCGCTAGGAATCCTAGCAGGCGTTAGGAACCGAGCGTCACACGCTAGGGTCCCTGTCATTCAACAGCATGTGCGCTGTGTGTGTCCCGAAAGGCCCTCTGTGGCAGGACACTCTCACCTAGCCCAGAGCTGTCTCAGAGAGCTGGGAACTGCATGCACCTACCACGCGGGAGGCTTAGCCTGCGCCACGCTCTCCTCAAATGTCAGTCTGCTTCTCTGAGTCCCACACGTATTTCCTAACTTCCCCTGACCCTGGAGGGAAAGCCCACCCTGCCCTCCGTGGCCGACAGCCCCACGCTTGTCTGCAGCCTGACCTTTGTGCACACCCATTCTCTTAATGTCCGGGCGCACCTCCGGGGCCTCAGTTCTGGGCCTTCATCTCACTCCCGGGAGCCTCCCTGACCCAAGGCCCCGCCTCCGCTCTGCGGACCTCTCTGTGCCCCCCTGTGCAGCTGGCCCACCAGCTCTCATCCGAGGGCTGCTGCCTGGTGCTTGCTGTCCTGTCCCTCCTCCAGGGTCAGAACTCCCTGAGGGGAGAATGCATCTGCCGCCACGTGTTCCTGTGGTCAGCACAGTGCCCGGCACGTGGGAAAGCCCTGTGGGTGTGGATCAAATTTGAGTTAGTTCTAAATTCAGACAGGAAGAGTTTCTTTTTTGAAAATGACAAAATCTATTCTTTTTCTTCCCCTAATAATTTCTCCACCTAGATGTTTGGGAAAGTTGCCATGAGAGACAACAACCAGATCAACAGGAACAACAATTTCCAGACCTTTCCCCAGGCGGTGCTGCTGCTCTTCAGGTGACGCAGCCCTGCACGGGGCGTGGCTCTAGCTGTGGGCTGCGGAGTGACAGGGGACATGAGTTACTCACCAGCCTGGCCGCTCCCAGTTGGTCCCGGTGGCTTTCTGTGCTTGTTTGTTTTGTGTGCTTAAGCAGGGACACTAACCGCTCAGCCACAGGGGAGTGTTGCCGGCTTGTAGAAACTGCTGTGTTCATTTCGACTGTGGTGGTTAAGGTTTATCCCTCTGGGAGTTAGTGGGTCGACTCAGGGAGCTGGGAGGAGATGAGCGTACGCGTGGGAGCACCCACTGAAACACAACTGAAGACAGAGGTTTTGCAGGAGCACAGAAGCCTTTGCACAGCCAGTGGGGGCACATCTTAAGATGTGGAATTTGGAATTTTACAGGGTTGCTGTTAACCCCAGTTAATTAACTCTGCAAACAAGGGTGCCTCAAAGTGAGAGAACTTTCTAGAAATTATACAAGTAATTGATAAGGACTCCGTGGCCAGATAGCAAGCCATTTGCAAGTTAGGCAGTTTCCAGTCCTTGGCTTTCAACAGACGAACGGGGTCTTATCAAGTTGTGAGATGTTAAGTCATTAAAAGAGAATAATCGATAAAAACTTTAACATAAGGGTTTAAAGAAGAGAAGGCACAAAACCAAACATCTAATTTTACAGAAAGAACCGATGTGCTCGTATCGATTGATATAAATCAAAGGAAGTTATAGCAGCGCCTCCACTTATACTGAAATAAATTGCATTGGAAAATAAATAGGAATTTCATATCTTCACTAATTCACACTGGCTTGTTGACTAATTCCTTGGGTGTTGCTGCAATGAGAAACATTTTTTTTTTTTTCTTCTTAAAATGTTGTAGAGGTCTGAGCCTCAAATCCCTCTGCGCCTACTAATAACCCTTCCTTTGCTCGCTCTGAAAAAGGTGTGCGACCGGCGAGGCCTGGCAGGAGATCATGCTGGCCTGCCTCCCGGGGAAGCTCTGTGACCCCGAGTCGGATTACAACCCCGGGGAGGAGTACTCCTGTGGGAGCAACTTCGCCATCGTGTACTTCATCAGCTTTTACATGCTCTGCGCCTTCCTGGTACGTGAGCAGGAGGGCTCCCCTCTGAATCGGCAGGTGTGGTGTAGCATTGGGAATCAGACCAGGGACGGTGCCCCACCCACCTGCTGGGGGTATTCCGTGCTGATGAGCAGCTCCCTCCACTTGGCAGGCTTGGCCGGTTTTTGTTTTAATTGTCAGTGGTAAGCACCTTCCTTGTGAGCAGGGCCTCGAGGCTTTGTCACGGGCTTGGGCAGTCCCACTGCTTGGAACTGCTGGTTTCTTTATAAAAATGTCACAGCCCATGCACAGAGCAGTGACTTAAGAGTGTGAGTTATTTGGTAGCAGTGAAATGATAACACTGTGGTGTGCTTCAAAGATCCAGATAATTCATCCCCCTGCCTGCCCCTGGGACTATACCAAAGCCACCTCGGGAAGCCAGAAGTCTGCTTCCAGGTGGGGTTTCTACAGCCTCTCTGGGGAAATGGGTTCACGGGCTTCGTGCCCCTATACTGAGGGAGCACCCACCGGGGTCGGCCTGATTCATGACTGCCGCTGAGGCTCCTCCCTCTGATTTGCTTTCACAGATCATCAACCTGTTTGTGGCTGTCATCATGGACAACTTTGATTATCTGACCCGGGACTGGTCCATTCTGGGACCTCACCATTTAGACGAATTCAAAAGAATATGGTCAGAATATGACCCCGAGGCCAAGTAGGTTGGGAAGGATGCCCTGGCTGTTTGTGGGGGGTGTTTCTGGAACGGGGGCTGTGGTTTGGGGAGGTGGGATGGACTGAAAGCTCAGCGCTGCTGCCTGGACCTCACGCTCCACTTTGTCTCAGGGGGAGGATCAAGCATCTGGACGTGGTCACCCTGCTGCGCCGCATCCAGCCGCCCCTGGGGTTTGGGAAGCTGTGCCCACACAGAGTAGCCTGTAAGGTGAGTGTCCCCTTGGGTGTCTGATGGCCTCTCTTGCAGAGACTCCCTGGTTCATTCAAAAACCACTCAGTGACCTTCCCTCGCACCTGCAGTCAGGCGCCCAGGATGCGGAGACGAATGACACCTGGTTCCCATCCTTGAGGCACTCCCAGGAGTGTCACTTGTGGGACACCCTGTCAGCCAACGATAGGAATAGGAGGGCAGTTATGTCATTCGTCATTGGGTGAAGGCCGGGGACAGTGACCTTTGCGTCAGGCACAGGAGGAGAGACGTGGGGGTTTGTCAGAGATGGAAGGTGCCGGGAGCCGGTCCATCCTTGCTGTTTCAGGGTACCTGGCATATATGGCATACTGTTCTTAATATGTTTGCTCACCTTCTTGGCACTATGTGTTTTAACCAAGGTCACCTCTCTGAGAAAGGTTGTTTCCCCAGGTAGGGATTTTCCCCTGAAGTTAGGGAGGGAATAAAACCCCTTAACTAAGTGCCAGGCGGGTAATTAATCACTTTAACTACGAACAATCATGCTTAAGCTACGTAATCTTTACTCCCTGGAATGGAGATAATAAACGCCCTAACCTTTGGAATAGAGATTGATAGGATTGGAATCAACTGGTATAAATACAGATGTAACAAGACAACAGGACACAGAACCTAGACACAGAACCTACACAGAACCTAGAGACAGAAGAACTTCGCTGGAGAGAACATGGCAAAAGATCCTGGACAGAAACTGGCCACAGAACCTAGAGACAGAACCTGGCTACAGAACCTGGATAGAACATGGCAAGAGAACCTGACTAGAACCTGGTGACAGAACCTGGCTGGAGAACCTAGTGAGGGAACATGGCTATAGAACCTGGCTAGAGGAACCTGGCTTTGATGATCACCTGAACGCTGCCTCTGTGTCATTCCTTCTTCACCGACTCCGTCCACACCTATGGGGAACCCCTGGACCCGCTGGGGCTGGACCCCAGCAGGAAGGAGCACAGAGAACCCTGACGCAGAGGCAGAAAATGGGGCGTCATTGGTACGACTGGAACAGAAGAGGAAGTGGTGGAAGGGCACAGGCGCACACGGCGTGGCTGTGAGGAACTTTCCGGGCCATGCTGAGTTCCAGGGAAGAAGCACGGGTGGACTTCTGTGTTAGAGGGAGAAGTAAATGGGGGCAGGGGACGCCTGGGAGAGCTGTGGGGACTGTCTGGGTGTGAAGTGACAAGAGCCAGAGTGAGGGCAGTGGGAGGGGAGGGAGAGGAGGTGGCTGAGGGCTCCACTGAGGAAGTGGAGTGGAGAAGACCGGGTCCGCGGGCGTTGCTAGCCTCTGTGCTGGTGGACGGGGCACCGTGCCCCCTGCGCCGGCGCTCCTCTCCTGAGCACAGGCGGTGGCCGGGCATGGCTGCGTGCAGACCTCCTGATCCATCTCTGCAGCTCTCACCTCAGACCCTGCTCCCTGGGAGCCCTGGCTGAGCTCACAGTGACTCACCTGGAGTCAGCTGCAGCAACAGAAAGAAGTCCCTTTCTAAAAGGGAAATGCAGGGTTTGCCTGTGGAAAGTCTACCCTGTGGGAACCCAGCCAGCCTGCACTCCAGGGTTGCTGGGCCGATTCTAGACAGACCCAAGGTAGCAGAGTCGAGTCTACTGTGTATTTCCAGCTTTCAGAGATTTTCCCAGCCACACCCATCGTTCCCTGCCCCAAAGCACCGAACACTTGCAGAAACCATGTGGACTTCGCAAGGGTCGCCCCAGGGCAGGTCCTTAAAGGACACTCTGTGTCCGGAATAGTCACGTACCCCTGCTGCAGTTGCTGGAGGACCTGAGTCCCCTGCCCTGTGCCTGGCTCACTGTACCTGGTACCACGTTTTACCCTCACGACAGCCTGAAGGATGTGCCCAGAATGGAGGCCTGACCACAGGACACAGGGAGAGCTGGTTTTTGAGAAAGGGAGAAAAATGCTGGCACAGTGAGATGATTCAACAATCAAGGTGAAACACCAAGAGCATCCCACGGGCCAGCATCTGTGTTTCATGACTAAAAGCTTTGATCTTTGTCGTGTCAGAGCCCCAGCTGGTAGGTGCTCCTCAAATGGCCGGTGAGTTAAATTTGTAGGGTCGACTGGAAAAGAGATGAGGGAGAAACAGAATAACTACGGGAAAGGGCTGCGGCTGCCATCCGTCCTTTGCATGCTGGTAAGAAGCTTCTCTTTCTGTTTGCAGAGACTAGTTGCCATGAACATGCCTCTCAACAGTGATGGGACAGTCATGTTTAATGCAACCCTGTTTGCTTTGGTCCGCACAGCTCTTAAGATCAAGACGGAAGGTGAGCGTCCCCTGGGAGCAGGTCAGGGGGCAGAACTGGGAGGAGATGCCACCTCCCACCTGTGTTCTCCCTTCTGGGCCTTTCCTTGTCGAGGGGAGGCCCTGGGAAGGGCGTGGTGAGTGCAGTGAGAACCTTTGTGCTGGTGGACGCACTGTTCCCACCTCCCTCATCCCTCCTTTCCTTCCTTTATGCTTCACTTTGTCCCTGGGAGTTTTGAGGCGACTCAAGCCACTGCTTACTAGAGAGCGGCAATAGGTGGGAGATCAGGGCAGAGTCGGCACCGTCACCCCTGAGCTCCCTCCAACTGACCCTTCCTGCTTGTGTGACCTTTGTGAGGGGTTTTCCTGTTCTGAGCTGTAGGTTGTTTCTCTGTGGGAAGGAAAGGAACACACCTACATCAGGGGAAGTCCTGGGGATGATGTGAGATGATGCCTGCAGAAGCCCCTCTGCAGTGCTGGCCCGTGGTGGGAAACACTATTACGACCAGCGTCTTCCCAGCTGAGACCAAAGCACACGGGTCTTCGGGGCCACGCTCAGCCCTGGTAGAATAAGCCTGGAGCATGGCCATTGCTGTTGTCTCGGTGGCAGCTTCACAGGTGGCATGGAAAGCAATTGCAGCAGGTGGAGGGGTGACCATGAGGTGGAGAAGCAGAGACTGTGAGGGAGGGGGGGAAGAGGGGCCAGCGGTGGACACTGCAGAGTCCATGGGCAGCTGTTTTCCCGCAGCCCCGGAGCTCAGGGTGACTCTATCCAGCAAAGCCAGTCCCCGCAAGCTCACGGGCTCCTTGCAGTGGGCTCTTCTGCACTGACGTGTCCGTTGAGGAGACAAACATCAGCCCAGCTGATAAGACCAAGATGATGCGGGTGCTACGGATGAGTCCACACAATGGGAATTGAAAGTCTTATGTGGGTGGAATTTAGTCTGGGTCTTCAAGGACAGAGGCAGGATTCGGCATTCTAGGCTGGGAGCAGCGGAAAAGGTGTAGGTGTGGGCTTGGGAAGGTAGAACACGGATTCCAGAGTAAAACGTGGTCCTTTCCACCCACGGTGGAGTGACTGCAGGTCACAGGTAGTGTGAATGCCCCTGACTGGGGAGCCTGGGGGGAGGGGCACCCATCAGAGGGCCGTGCCGCCACCCGAGGGCCATGCTCCTACCCAGGTCAGCTTGGGGGGGCGGGGGGGGGTTGGAGCAGCATGGTCCCAGCAGAGGGATTGCTGGCCAAGAAGCAAGGCTTGTTTTCTCCTCTTGCTCTTTGCATCCAGGGAACCTGGAACAAGCTAACGAAGAGCTGCGAGCTGTGATAAAGAAAATCTGGAAGAAAACCAGCATGAAGCTGCTTGACCAAGTTGTCCCTCCAGCTGGTGGTCAGTGCAATCTCTTTCCTAAGTAGCTTTTGGCCAACACGTGGGTTTCAGCGGTCGTGTCTGCCGCCAGCTCGGCTGCGGGTTGCTTTATGCATCAGCTAGGTCGCTGAGGCCAAGCGCTAAAGAAAGCCGCCGGCCCTCTGGCGTAGTTACTTGGGGTCATATGAGCAGCATTCCCAAGGAGAGGCCTCAGCGGGAGGCAACCAGACAAGGTGGCTGGAGCTGGGCTTTTCTGCTGGGGGTGGGAATTAATGTTAGAGGGCAAGCCTGCTGCCTCAAAAGGAAAAGTCTAGATTTTTGGGGTCCAAAATGAAATATTTAAAGCTAGTTTCCATGTATCCTTTAACATAGTGTTGAAAGCTTCTCATAAAAAATTGATAGCTGTCAGAAAATGGTATTTTCAAAATGCCCTTGTCAAGACTGAGTTTACTACCATAACTAGCCAATAAAGGTCCCTATCATTAGAATTTAAGTAGGGACAGAACTAACAGGCATGCTTTTTTCTTTCGTTATTTATCAAGAAATAACCGACTAAACTTTTTTTCAGATTTATATATGTAAAGTTATACATATATAAAGTATATATATATATAATTTATACACTGTTTTTCCACTTTCGTTTAAGTGCACATGGACTTAGAAGTTGAGGTGGTTGTTTTTCGACTTTTATTTTCACGTTTTAAAGGTGCAGGATCTGTTCAGGTCTGGACACTGACTCCAGAACCCTGAGCCAGAATGGTGGCCAATACCTCTCCCTCTGAAAAGGTGACAACCTCTGGCTCTTGGGGGGAGAGAGCGTTGTGCGGGCCCGCTCTGGTCCTCGGCATGAAATGAGAAGCAGGACGAGATGTTGTCACTGCAGGGGACACCCATAGCTAGCACGGTCATGGCTCAAAGCCGGGGAAAATGGCCCACAAAGGGGCAGCAAAAAGGCCCCCCAGACCGAAAAGAACAAAACCCTCAAACTCTCTGCCCCCCCTTCCCCCGAGAACTGGTCCTGCACATTTGTCCGCGGGAGAACTGTTACTGTTGTCCACAGAACTGATGCTGCACATTTAAAACAACTCTTCTGTTTCCTTCTTTTCTTTAGAGCTGCACACCCAAGTGCTCGCATGGCTGAGGTTAATCGCTTTCTTAAAAATTGTCGTAACAATGTGCTTGAGCTTTTTTCTGCAGCCTCCATTCCTTTCAACGCTCAGTCTTTCAGAATATTCTGAAGCAATTCTGTTTTAGGGTGGTGGCATGGAATCAGAGTTATCTCTTGCCAACTGTATTCCCCTACAATGTTTCTCGAAATACAGACGCATGCTTCAGAATAGCGGTCTGGGCTGGCTGAGTAAACCTTCCCCTGAAACACCACCTTCGTTACAAACTAGTCTCACGCACATGTCAGGGCCCATCCTGGCTAGACCCCCTTGGACAGCATCCCGTGAAACTTCGTTTCTTTTCATGTGACTTAGAAAAAAGTCCAGAATTTGGCTCAGGATCTAAGCTCCCTTCCTTTTAGTTCTATTAGACGTCTACTAAAAGCTACATATTCTCCCGCATTCTTGGCCCAATGATGGGCGTTGGCTTTTTCTCTGTATCTCTTTAAATGGAGTGGGTATTAATCTATTTCAAAATGGCATTAGGTGGCACTGTGAAACCCGAAAGTAGAAAAGAGGGCTTCAGGAGGAGATGGGGTCCTCCAGAAGTCCCGTGTCATGGCTTGTGTATGTGCTGGGATAATGTTGTCGGGCTGAGTCTCAGATAAGCGCTGCTGCCACTGCAGAAGGTGGAAAGGCCTGGGTTTCTGGCTGCGGTGAGCAGACCCTGAGTGAGGTGCTGGGCAGCATTCTAATTCTGTCTCTTTGTTTTTGAGTCTTTCCCATGCCAGTCGGTGAGTGGTTCCCGCCTTTCCCTCGCCATGGCACACTTAGAAAGCGAGAATATTCGTTCAGCCCTCCAGGCCAGCAAGTGGGTAGCTCCCATGGCTGACGGGCTCGGTGCCCTCCCTGCTGTAACCTCACAGAGAGCAGCAGACTGAGCCAGGCCAGCTGTCCCTGCGCCGGGACTGGCCGATGTGGGGTGGCCAGGGAGGCCCTTACAGACCTGGTGACAGCAGATGCCCATCTCAGGAGGAGTTGCTGGCACAGTGTGATGTGAGGTGCCCCAGGTTGTCATGAGCTTGATAGTAAGGGGCCACTCAGGACGGAGCCCTGGAATACCAGCCGGGACCTGTTCTGTGCGGGAGGCTGTGGCTGGGGAGGCAGCCTGTCTGCTGTCTCCGTCATAAGGCTGACGTCTCATTGCCCATCACTGACCCTTGCTCACGTTCTCCCCTCCACTCTTGTCACGCATTTCCTGGGTCCTCCCCTCCAAGAGGCTCTCCTTGCTTTGGGCCTTCGCTCCTTGACCTGGCTCTTGGGCCCCTTTTCCCTAAAGAGCACTCAGAGCCGGCCCTACCCCTTTCTCTCTAGTCCTGAGCCCAGACACCCTCCCTGCATTCCTTCCTTCTCTTCCTTCCCTTCCTGTCCTGCTATGGCCAGGGGAGGGGAATGTCCGGCCCCGGGCCATATAAGGCCCGGGAAATCAGTTGCTCTGGCCCTGCGATAGGGGTGAGTTAGTTAAATGTTTGACCAAATATGGCAGGCTAATTTTTAAGCTGATAATTCGTATGGCCTGCGAATGATGCTATAAATATCCAAATGGCCCTTGGCAGAAGAAAGGTTCCCCACCCTGTGCTATGGCTTTCACTCTCCTGTTTTTAAGAGCTCTTCCTGGGCTCAGTCTCAGTGGAGCAGCCCACGTGGCCCTTGCACCCTGCCCTGCAGAGCCCTGGGTGGCTGTGCTCTGCTCCATGTGGCCCCTCAGGGAGAAACACGTCAGCTTTTCCCCGAGGACACTGTGGCCTGGCTCCAGGCCCGGGGAAGCCCAGACCCCACTGCAGGAGCCCCTGGGCCCCTCCAGGCTCGCACAGTCCAGCCTGTGCGAAGGGAGGTGAGGGTGGGCCTGTGTGTGCTGGGGCATCCCGGTGTGGAAGGAGGTGGTCTTCTGTGGAGAGAGAGGCATTTTTCCGCAAGCCCCCAGAGAAGGCTTGGGAGTCTGGACTGAGAGGCCGCTGTGGTGCAGCAGGCGGAGAATCCCCCGGGCCCCAGGGATCTCTATGCAGTCAGCAGTGGGTTCCCCTCCAGATTGCAGCCCAGTAGCGAGAGAGACTTGTACTCTGGGAGTGGCCGCCCCACAGAAGAAGGTGGCCTGTGTGGTTGGAGCTAGGCCATCCCTCAGGGAGGTGGTGCAGAGGAAGAGGAGAGCTGGCTTGGCACTCATGTCCCAACCTGACTGGCCTGGGGCAAGTCTTCAACCTTCTCAGCTGTCAGCGCGGGTGAGCAGATCCACCATCTCAGAGTTGTGGTTGAAGAGTCCGGGCAACCGAGTGGAGCTCCCTGACTCAGGGCTTGGTACCTGTAGGTGCCCAATAGGAGGGGTGGCTGGAACTGGTGTCCAAACAGCCCCGGGCAAAACAGAGAGCAGCTCAAGGGCAAAGGTTGAAATGTGCAGACCCGCATGGTCTCTCTTCACCTCTTGCCTCCTTGCCCGTGAGGGCATCACTAGACCAGCCTGAGACAGGTGAGGGACCACGGTTTCACATGCTGCACAAGCCTGGGTTCACGTTGGTGGCCCCTGCACCCTTCCAGACTTGCCCAGCTTGGGTTTGGAAGGAATGCAACATGTCCTCGAAGTCCAACCACTCCAAGCATCTTCTCTCACAGTAACACTGAGTAGCTCTTGACCAGGGAGTTTGGAGAGGCAGCCCTGGATGGCCCAGCAGTGTCCAGACAGAGACATCTCCCACATGGGCGCTAAACGAACCCCAGCCACGGTACGTTAGGGAACACAGTGGGCCTCAGTGTCTCCCCACGTGTGTGCTCTATGATCTATTGCAGTGGATCTCACTGTTGGTGGGTGTGAGATGATAGTGATTCCCGTGGCTCAGTCATCCAGCCCCCAGAATGAGGGCCACCCCAGCAGGGGGCTGCATACATCACATGCCTCTCCTCCTGTGGTCCTCACAGATCCTCTAAGAGACATAGCTCCTTTTATACATAGAGGTTGAGCTCCTTGCCCCAGATCACATGAAACTCTTACAAGGGCAGCCTGGCCAAAGGTTTAGCTGTGCTAAAGCCTGAGCGCTAGCAACCATTCCACCCCCAGCCTCTGCAAATCATGGTCAGCGGTCTGTGCCCACAGGAACCCTGGGCACACCGCAACCTGGGGGAGCAAGGGTTGTGGAGATCCTGGAGCACACGCACACTGCCAAGGTGGTTTACCCGAGACAGCCAGAGCCTCTATTCTGCCTCATGCATCACCTGTAAAATGCTCAGCAGAGTTCCAGTTGTTTCTGAACAAAGCAGAAGTAAGTCAGCTCCACCATGAGGTTAGTTGGCGCTGTCACTTACAGCACCTCCCACCCCCCCCCCAAAAAAAAAAACACCACACACACACACACACACCACAACTAGTTCTGAATTACAGACCAAGAAATGGCATATGGAGGCTATTGGCAGAGTCAAGGGGCACATGAAAATCTGGGTTTGCAGTCACTTTAATGAACCTTCCTCTTCTTCTGAGCTTGTCTGTCCCCTTTCTGAGGTCTCTGTCTTTATCTCCAGGCATCGGGATTTGAATGGTTAATTGCCCTTGGAGTTCATGGTAATTACACATGCAAATCCCTGTGCACAGGGGTGAAAATATGACCTAGGAAAGCCTTTTTTGTTGTGTAATTTTTATTTTAAGTAAATAACCAAGACAGCACTTGATAATATTACTAATGCGCTGCTCTATTAAACTCATGACAAATGTTATTTTCTGCAATGTTGAGTGTCAGTTTATCTAACTGACTCTAACTTTGAGCCTTAACTGCTTTGCCGAACCCTGCTTTTTGCTAGAGCTAGTCTCCCTCCTGTGTTATAAGCCGAGAGCTCAGTGCCTCTGCGCTGTCCCCCGCCCCTCCCAGAAGCCAGTGTGTAGGCTCTTGGTGCAAATGTGCTGATTCGGGAGAGCTGTGTCTGGTCTCTCCGTTTAGATGATGAGGTAACCGTGGGGAAGTTCTATGCCACTTTCCTGATACAGGACTACTTTAGGAAATTCAAGAAACGGAAAGAACAAGGACTGGTGGGAAAATACCCTGCGAAGAACACCACAATTGCCCTACAGGTGAATTGTTGTTTTGTTGTCTTATCTTTTCACTAACCACTTTACGAGCTTATTTGAAACATTAGAGAGCTGACAGTTCATGGTTGAGCAGTACCACAAGGATTTGTTTAAACTGAGATACTGCACACACCCTAAAATGTGGACTAGCCATTTCTGGGCCACCAGGTAAGTGCCTCCGTCTCCTTGCTTCCTCTGGCGACTGCTGCGGCCTGTGGCACAGGAACCCCAGGACAGCCCTGGGAGAGGGGAGCGAGCACTACCCTTGCGCCTCTCTCCTCCAGGCTTCTCCCAAGACAGTGCCCTCCCAGCAGGCACCCACCCACCCCAAGCCCTGGGCTCCAGCCCTGGCTGCCCAGGAAACAGCTTTCCATCTGAACGCAAGTGCTTTGTTTTGTTTCTGTTTGTTTCTTACCCCACTGCTTGTTGGTTTTTGGTCCATTTCAGTAACATCCATCACCTCCTGGTGTGTGTGTGTGTGTATGTATGTGCGCGCATGTGCATATGCATTTGTGCGTGTGTGTACGTGTGTGTACGCCTGCGGTGTGTCTGTTTCTCTGTGTTGTCTTTTGATGGCCGTGAGGCTTGCTGTGCTAATGCTGCTCTCTCCCACCTGGCCAGCCTCTGGTCCCTACCCCTAAGCCATGGCCCTGCCCCGGGCTCCTAGAGTGTGGAGGTGGCTTTCAGGAACCTCTGGTTCCAACCAGGGCTTGAGGATACGGAATCCTAGGTGAGCCCAGAGCTCTGGGATGGGAAGCAGGAGTGCAGGCGAAGGGAGTCCCAGTGGAGACCCGCACACAGGGGCCAGGAAGGGGACTTCGTGAGTGCTGGTGGTGAAGAATGCAGGGTGAAGAGGGGGAGAGAAAAAGATGCTAAGAACTGGAAAAAGGGAACTAGAGAGGTTGGCGAGTTGTCAGAAACAGCTGTTTAAATTAATCGAAAGCCCTGTCATCTCTGCTACCCACAGTGCTTCGAGTCCATTGCGAATAGGATAAAGGATTTTTCCCTTTTTAGTTTACTCTAAAATTACTTTTCTGTCCCTGTTATCACCACGTCTTAAATTGGGCCTAACAGTTATGGGTAAGGATCAATGTGAAATAATCCTGCACTTTTTTTTTTCTGGGGAAAAATGCCCAGTATTGACTGTTTTGTGTTCACAGTGATGGTCAGTACTGAAGCGAAGGCTTGTGTGTGCTCTCTCTGAGCAAGGGAATATGAACATGAATGATGATGAAAGAATGAATGAAGGAATGAGGGGTGCATATACATATGTTGGGTTAGTAGATGACCTTATGTAACCGTGACCTGCTGATTCATGATAAAAACCTCTGCTCTACCCAGACAGCTGCAGGGTTGGGGGCGGGGGGGATCAGCTGAATCCAACTGTAGGCTTCTGACCTTCCTTTCTCTGATCACATCTCCTAAAGGCAGCTTGGTGGACCACAGGCTCAGGCAGGTGGCTCATTGCTGTGTCAGGTTGTAGACTTGGTGAGCAAAGCGCTTTCACCTCTGGCTGATCCAGTTTGCAAAGGCGACAGCCCTTTGATCACAGTTCCTACGGAGCCTTAGACGAAGCAAACTGACAAGTGTCCCTTTGACCTTATCTTGGGCCCACACGTTCTTGAGGGCAGTGTGGCCAAATTGGATGCAAAGAGGGGGTGACGAACATGTTTTTGATGGCTCTTCCTGAAAGGAGCCTTGGGCCTGGAGGGCGAGGCCAGCCTTGTGTCAGAGTGCCCTGGTGCCCTCTGCTCGTGGGACCTGCTTGTTGTGCTCAGGGTCTAGTTGGTGGGGTCGATGGAGTTCAATGACTTTTCTGGAGGGGGAAATGTACTCTTTCATGGATAGCTGTGTCGTAATTTACATTAATCAGGTTAGCTCTGTGTTATGAGGCCCCTCTATTTATTTTCTGTGGAAGGCACGGGTGATGACCACCTCGATACAGAGTTATACCTTTGAGTCCCCAAAACTTCCCAATTCGATGGCTTCAGGGCTTGCTCTGGTGCCTGGAGATAGTCTTTTGATATTTTAAAACCTGAAAAGAACACATAGCTAAACAATTTTCACATTTCACGAATGGGCTCCACGGAGTCTTCAAGTTGAAGGTTCAAATGGTGTTAAAGCTGCCTTTTTAAATCATGGGTTAAAAGACTCTATTACATGGTACTACAGTAATGCTGAGGTGTGTTTCCCCCCCCCCCCCAAACATTTATCATTTTGTTGTGTATGGAAAGAGTTTCATTTCCTTGGTGAAATGCAAATATTTCCAGTTAAGTGTTAATATCAACACATTTTACATGGTTCCGGTGGGAGTTGATGTTGAGAGCACAGCCTAGAAAATTAAGTTGTGTTCATAACCTCGACAGATAAATTCTGAAAATGCATTTGGTTCTGAAGCAAACATCAAAAGTGGAAAAATTTTGTCTCCTTGGAGGACAATCCTAATTACATTTTTGGCTTCCTCTGCTCTAAAAATGGCTTTCGATGTGATTTGTCACTCTACTTTTAATCAGCCGCAGGAGGCCCTTCCTTCCGGCATGACGAAGGGTAGGTGATGGTGTCGCAGTCAGGGAAACGCGGTCCAGTGGCGGTGGGAGAACCGCACCAACAGTGTCACTAGGACGAGCACACAGGTCCTCCAGGGCATGGCGTATTGAGAGGTGGGGTGGCTTGCCTCTCCCTGTGCCAGGGTGCCACACGGCTGACCGATTGCTAGTGGCAGTGGAGTGTGGGCATAGGCATGTGCGTGCTTGTGCTGCGTCGAGTGCCGTCTGCCTGAAGAGCCTCAGAACTGGTCCATGTTCTGAGCCCCTCCCCATGGGACGGTTTTCAAGGACACACAGAGGCACTATGGTCTCCAGCCCTGTGGGCTCCATCTGGGCTCCCCGTGTTCAGACCAATGGCAGTGTCCCCGTCTTCGCGAAGAGGAATGGCTTGAGGAGCTCCTGCGTCCATGTGTGGGCAGGAGCTCAGCCCCCAGTGTCCTCTGGCCTCTGTGGTCTGAATGAGTGTGCAGTTTCCATCTGTCCATCCATCATCATCATCACGAAAGCCAGCCTTCTCTCCAGAACCTCTCCAGAGGGAGCTGGAGAGAAGCCGCCTCAGGCCTTTTGTGTTCTCACTCATCCCCTCCATGCCACGCTCACTTTAGTTTGACTCAGCATTTGCTCTTCATCCATCATTGCCGCATCCGAGGGACCTGCATGTTTCCACGAGGAGCAAGTAAATAAAGGAACAGAGCTCTGCGGACGTGAAGAATGTGCCCCCTCCCAGCAACTAGTAGCGCCCCATCAGACCTTCCAGGCGAGGGTCCTGGACACACATTTGTCCAGTGTCTTGTGGAAAGGGGGAAAAAAGACCCAAAAGTGGGAAAAGTTTTGTTCATTTCCTTTTCTTTCAACATTCAAACATTTCCTTTAAGCAAAAGACGCTCTGGTGCAGTCTGAGGAGAGACTGTCCCTGGCTCATTGTAATGACAGGAGGACTGTAGGGGGATAGTCTTTTCTTTGTTTTTAACCCGTTGGGCTTGAGGAAGAGACCAGTATTTCCAGCTGGTAAAGAGTCCGGTGGTCAGGTATTAGAATGTTGGAGTCTGTACCCCAAGCCAACAGATGGTGACGTTGGTGGTCACGTGGAAAGGTGGGGGGTACAAAAGAAGCAATGCCGCTTCTCCCCTGATGGGCTTTGATCCGGCTTCCACGGGAGGCTCGGCGCATCCACACAGAGGAAAGTGGGATGTGCAGCAGACGTGTCGTCTGTGGAGTACAGACTCCTGTTTCTAAGTCACCATGGTCTAAAAAGGAGCAAGCTTTTTTATTGTTTTTTTAAAGCATGATTCCACCCGGAGCCGTAAGGCTTTTCTTTTCCTTTCTTTTTTAATCTGCAAGGAGAGCAGGTGCTAACAGATGGGATTTCACTGGCTGATTCATTTGTTTCAGATGCTTGAACGGATGCTTTAGAGCTTTCTGCCTGAGCTACAGCACCAAGCTCGTTAGTCGGAAGGCGTTGGTGGCTGAGGCCTTGCAAGGGAAAAGTCTCAAGTGGGCTTATTTCTACTGAAACCGCATTTCGGGAGAAATGCAGGAAAAAGCAAACCCAAGGCCCCAGGGAGACCCCTTCCAAGCAAAGCAGTCCTGCAGAAGGCGGAAGCAGGGCCGCGGCCAGCTGCGGAGCCATGGCCTCCTGTCGCGGACGCTGCTCACGGTGGCTCTTTTTCGTGGAAGGGAACATGCGAGGCTTAACCGGTTTCCCTTCCAAACAGAGACTCAGAGAAAGGGAACGAGGGAGAGAGCAAAAGAGGGGTCAGCCGCCCCACAGAGAAATGAAATGAACACAACTTCCTGATGCTGGCCAGTAAAAAAAAAATTTTTTTTCAAATAACAAAAAGATTAAGCAGACCTGCCTAAGGTGGGCAGCTGACTCTGTTCCAAAGTCCTGCATCCCTAGTTTGCCCGGACTCCCAAAGACTGGCAGGCCCCTGGGCGCTGAGCTGGCAGAGTTCCTTTTGTATGGCAGTCAGGCCTGACCTGACCGTCGGCCGCACTCTCTGCAGTGACCCGGGCAGGACAGGAAGCTCAGACACACCCATTTAACTAACACATACACCCGCATGCCCAGACCAACCCAGGCAGCACCTCAGGTTCCATCTTAACGTGTCCACGGGAAGCACCACCACACCCCAACCTCATCCGACATTGTCCGTCTGTAGTCCGTGCTCAAAGCCAGTCCGGGGCTGCCTCTTTGGAAGCGGTGCGGTCTAGTTTCGAGGACACTGGGAGTCAGGGAACCTGGGCTCTAGTCCCAGCTCCAGCATTCGGTTGCTGCGTGACCTTGGGCAAGACACTTAACCTCTCTGTGCCTCAGTTTCCCCATCTGTAAAATGGGGATAACAATGTCGACCTACCTCACAGGGCTGTTGTGAGGAATAGCTAAGTGATTGTAAAGCACTTTGAACGTATAATTGCTTATTATTAAGACTACAACAATAATAATATCCTATGCCT